TCCAGGAACAGGGTTGGCCACCCCTGCTCTATATATTTGAATGTTTACTAAAGAAAAATATTAAAAAGAATTATAAAATATTACAAAGTGTAACTGTCACACAACCAGAGATCGCTGGTTCTCACACTAACTTCAAGACTACACTTCCGCATTTCCCAGGACTACATTTTCATACATGCACTGCTCCCAGACACCCATGCTCATTCATCTATCCTGATTGCAATCACCAGCTGAACCTTGTCACTGACTGATATCACACCACTTATAAGCCACTCATGAACCCTTCCAGTTTGCCGAGTGTTGTTTTCCCAGTGTGACATTACAATGCGTTTCTCCTTGTCTTGTTTTCTCCGTGTTTAGACCCTAGCCTTGTTTACCCTTGTTCTCTAGTTTAGCCGCCTGCCTTTTAACCTGTTGCCTGTTTATACCGACTACTAGTGATGGTGAAATGAAGCTTTCTGAACCAGTGAAGCGCTCGACTCAATTATATTGGAAAAAGGTTCATTACTCGAAGCTTTCTAAATCAGACCTCGATGAGGACCTCTTCTGGTTAAAGTGTGGGAAAGCACTTTGTTGCCATAATGTCAAATGTTCACAACTGTTCAACTCATTCATGCAGTAAAACAACAACAGCAATCTAAACAAATTACTCAATTACTGTAGTTTTACACATAAGATATATTACATTACACCACTGATGACTGTAGTAACATCCAAGGTATTCAAAAGTTTATCACATTACAACTTATCCTGTTCCAATCGGGGATCGAACCAGCGATTCCTGCATGGGAGGCGAATGCTCTAGGAGGAGGCTATGTGAGTGATGTGTGTAGGCGACATCCGCCAGCTCGTCTCTGTTAAACACAATACTACTATAAGCAGTGGTTTTCTTTACAGATAGTTGTAAAAAAAATATGCTAATACACTTTAGTATGATTCAAATCCTTTTTACTATAAATTACTATTGTATTTTAGTTTAATTACTGGTGTGAGACAGGTGCAGTGTGTTGAAACAGTAGAAATGTATGTAATTGACGCATAATCTCTCGCTATACACTTTACTAACCCATGAGGGTGTTTAAACCTTTGAATCAAAATTCGAAGCAGTCTCGTGGGTATAGGCGAAAATGAAGCTTCGGACGTCACTGAGCACGTGATGATGGCAAAACGAATCAAGCTCCGGTACACTGCTTCACTGCGAGATGTATCGTTTTTTTGATACATGCTTCGAAGCCTCGGCGCACAACGTCACATCACTACCGACTACGATTCTGGACTGCCTTAACATACCCGTTTGCACCTGTATGACCACTGCTTGCCTGACGCTGAATAAACCTGCATATTGGATCTTACCTTCTGTTGTGAGTGTCACTCCCCCCAGTTGAACAAAAACAAAAAGTGGCAACTGTTACTTTAAAGAGCCATTAAAACCATTTATTGGTAGAAATGAGTATCTTAGGTTGAGTCTGTGATACAGCTTGAATGAAACTACAGTAATCTCTTCAGATGACTATTTTCAGCTGGGATACTTATTTTGTGGATTGAACAGCCTGCATATTTGAATAAAACTTGAATAAAAACATTACATTGGAAAGTTACTATTTTATTTTCCTACTTTTAGGTTTAGTAATTAGTTCAGCTGGGTTTCCTCCGGTTGCTCCGTTATAGGTAAACTGAATAAACTATATTGGCCGCAGTGTGTGTGTGTGAATGCAAGAGTGTATGGTTGTTTCCCAGTACTGGGTTGCAGCTGGAAGGGCATCCGCTGCGTAAAAAACATGCTGGATAAGTTGGCGGTTCATTCCGCTGTGGCGACCCCTGATTAAAAAAGGGACTAAGCCGAAGGAAAATGAATAAATGAATGAATTCATAAGTTATCTTCTATATATCTAAATATTAACTAATTAAAATTAAGAGTGTTATAAAATATTGTAAAGTGCAACGATATTCAGAAAGAAATGTTATACACTACAAAAAGTGGCAGAAAGCAATTGTTACTTTAAAGTTCCATTTCTACCTGATTAAAACCATTTATTGGCAGAAATGAGTGTATTAGGTGATTTTTTTTTTTGATATAGCTTGAATAAAACTGTAGTTCATTTGAACATTACCTTTCTTTAGATTAATATTTTCAGCTGGGTTACTTATTTTGTGGACTGAACAACCTGTATATTTGAAAAAAAAATCATTAAATTTGAAAGTTACTATTTTATTTTTCTACTTTTAGGTTTAGTAATTAGTTCAGCTGGGTTTCCTCCGGCTGCTCCGGTTTTCCCCACAGTTCAAAGAGATGCGTTATAGGTAAAATGAATAAACTATATTGGCCGCAGTATGTGTGTGTGAATGCAAGAGTGTATGGGTGTTTCCCAGTACTGGGTTGCGGCTGGAAGGGCATCCGCTGCGTAAAAAACATGCTGGATAAGTTGGCGGTTCATTCCGCTGTGGCGACCCCTGATTAATAAAGGGACTTAGCCGAAGGAAAATGAATGAATGAGTGAATTCATAAGTTATTTTCTATATATTTAAATATTAACTAATTAAAATTAAGAGTTTTATAAAATATTGTAAAGTGTAACGATATTCAGAAAGAAATGTTATACACTACAAAAAAGTGGCAGAAAGCAAGTATTACTTTAAAGAGGCATTTCTACCTGATTAAAACCATTTATTGGTAGAAATGAGTGTATTAGGTGATTTTTTTTTCCTTTTTTTTATATATAGCTTGAATAAAACTGTAGTTCATTTGAACATTACCTTTCTTTAGATTAGTATTTTCAGCTGGGTTACTTATTTTGTGGACTAATCAACCTGTATATTTGAATAAAATCACTAAATTTGAAGGTCACTATTTTATTTATATTCCTATTTTTAGGTTTAGTAATAAGATTAACGGAATAAGCTGCATAATAAATCTAATCATCTTAACCTCATTTAGAGCATGTTAAACAAGACATCTACTTTTGCTAAAATGTTTAAAATTAATCCATCCAGTTTTCCTTCGGCTTAGTTCCTTTATTCATCAGGGGTCGCCACTGTGGAATGAACCACCAATTTATCCAGCATATGTTTTACACAGCGGATTTCCAGTGCTGAGTTGCAGCTGGAAGGGTAACACCCATACACACTCATTCACACACATACATGTACACTATTTAGTTTATCAATTCCCCTATAGCACATGTGTTTGGACTGTGGGGGAAACCGGAGCACCCGGGGGAAACCCTCACTAACACGAGGAGAACATGCAAACTTCACACAGAAATGCCAACTGACCCCGGCCGGGACTCGAACCAGCGACCTTCTTTCTGTTAGATGGACAAACCACACAAACAAGTATTGAAGATTTGAAGAAATAAAGCATTGACAATAGCCCCTTTCACACAGTGATACCGGTAAATATATGGAAAATTTCCGGAACGACTTTACCGGTAAATTCAGAAAAAGCGCTGTTCACACAGGCGAGGACGTTACGGAATTTTTCCGGAAAAGAGCATTCACACATCCATTCCAAAATACCGGTAAATTCTGACATCATTAACCAAAAATGAGCTTTAAACGACTGCGCTTGTGTTTGTAAACATTTGACTACATCACAAACTCTGTGGATGATCAGTATTGTGAACAACTTAGATGAAAACATATAAACACTTTCGCATGTCGAGATGTACATGATGTGTGTGTGTGCTGGCGCTCATGGGCTGTTTCACAGGCACACGCAAAGCTTGAAGGTAAACAAACAACAGCTTATCATAAGCATCTAATCGATAATTATTTACACAGTTGGCATTACGATGAACATATAAGCATTATCTGACTAATTTCTAGCAGCTAAATGTGTCTGGAAAAATATTCAAAGGCTTTTATTCTCATAAACCGCGCGGACGTGAATGTGTCTGACTGTTCTGATTGGCTAAAGCAGGTATCTCACGTCAGCACGTTCTAGACGTGCACACGCTCTTTCCGGCAATCTTCCTTCTGCATTCACACAGCGCAGCATTCCGGCAAACTACCGGTAATGTTACAACTGCTCTTTCCAGAAAATAGCCAGAACGAATTTACCGGTATTTTTAAAAAGGGCCTGTTCACACATACAACCTTTCCGGAAAATTGCCGGTAATTTTCCGCAAAAGTGTATATGTGTGAAAGGGGCTATTGACCTGAACAATAGCCCGTTGTTCCACTTTTTAGTAATCTGGTGTAATACTTAACCAGTGTTAAATCTGACCTGCTGCTGGCCTCGTAACACACCGGCTGGTCCTTCTGTGCTGGTTTGGGTGGTTCAGGTTTGCCTTTGAAATAGTTGACCATCCCCCCCCACACACTCTTAATGGTGTTTATGTGCCTCTGGCTCGTCCTCATGTCCTGCTCCATGTTGTCGATCATTCTCTCTGTCCTCTTCAGAGCCTCTCCCTGACGGATCAGTTCCTGCATGTGGAAAATAACATGGAGATCCTTCAGACTTGCTGCCCTGTGGTTTTAATATCTTCAAATGATAAGTATGTTTGATTAAATCCCACAATTGCCGGAATGACGCTTAAATGAACACTTTGTAATTGATATTACTATAATTATAATTTTTTTTTCTTATCAATGATCATCTTATGTTACATCTGAGTGTAGAATCTCTATTTTCTGCAGATAGGCATCACTTAGATTTTACTTTATGATACTTATTTACATTTAACTTACACACTTTCACAAGGTTTGAAACAAGCACATAACATGACCGTAATTAGGTTTAACCGTTTCAATCTTTTTTGTTGCTGACATATGGTGAGAATTCACTCTTGGTATTGCTCTGCAGGAAATAAATCTTAAACTCAAAGTAAAAGGTGTGTAAATGATGACAGAATTTTAATTATTGGGTGAACTGTCCCTTTAAGATATGAAAAAGTCAAAACTGTAACCTGAATTACTGTAATACTGTTGTCAGAATTATTAGCCAATCTGTATATCCCCCCCCCCCCCCCCCCCCCAATTTAACATTTCTACACATGATGGTTTTAATAACTCATTTCTAACAACTGATTTATTTTATTTTTGCCATGATGACAGTAAATAATATCTTGACTAGATGCTAGTATTCAGCTTAAAGTGACATTTAAAGGCTTAACAAGATACTTGTGTGACATCCCTATGTGTATAATGAAGATGGTCAGTTGAGGTTATTCTGGAAGGAGTTATATTATGACATGCGTTCTTAGCTTGGATGTAAATAGTGCTTTAATTTCTATTTATTTTTGATTATTATATTTAATTTTATTTTCTTTTTCTTATTATTTTTTTTATTTTTCTTCTCTCTTTATGCTGTTTTTCATTTTATAATTTCCAAAATTTGAGTACTTCTGTGTAGTAAATACACCTGACAATAATGTACGTAACTCAAGGTCACATACTGAGATACCAATGTACCTTGAAATGCTGTATGATTGTACTCAATTGAATGCTCACAGTAAACATAAAATTTAAATAAATAAATAAATAAAGGCGTAACTAGGTTCATTAGGGAAAAGTTAGGGTAATTAGGCAAGTCATTGTATAACAGTGGTTTGTTCTGGAGACAATCCAAAACTAATATTGCTTAAGGGGGCTAATAATACTTACCTTAAAATGGATTTAAAATTATAAAAAACTGCTTTTATTCTAGCCGAAATAAAACAAATAAGACTTTCTCTAGAAGAAAAAATATTATAGGAAATATTGTGAAAAATTCCTTAGTCTAATCAACATAATTTGGGAAATATCTGAAGAAGAAATTCACAGGTGGAAGAATCATTCTGACTTCAACTGTATGTTCTTGGTCTCACCTCTGCGGTTTCAGCACCGACTTTCTCTGATTCGTAGATAAGTCCGAGCGAGCGGTGGCTGCTGTCCACGGCGGACTGAGCTGTACGCATCACTTCCTGCTGCAGCTGCCTTTGCCGTCTCTCTGCCGGACTCAGCGAACTCTCCTCCGGATCATCATCGAAGTTAAAGCCTCTCCTTGGAGCCGCGCGCGAGTCCTCTTCTTCATCATCATCAGCGAAAGGATTGTGGGATTTGGGGTAGGCAGACATCCTGTGCTGAAGCCAGAAGACAGAGCTGAGCTGTTCAACCAATAGATATATGCCAAATAGCAATGTTTACATGTAGTCCAATTAAGAATAATACTGTTTTAATTGACACTAAAGTTCATATATTTCCTTCGGCTTAGTCCTTTTATTAATCAGAGGTCGCCACAGCGGAATGAACCGCCAACTATTCCAGCATATGCTTTACACAGTGGATGCTCTTCCAGCCACAATCCAATACTGGGAAACACGAACTCACATACACTGCGGCTAGTTTAGCTTATTCGATTCACTTACAGCGCATGTGGTTGGACTAGCCCACACCAACACAGGGAGAACTTGCAAACTACACACGGAAATGCCCACTGACCAAGCCAGGGCTCAAACAAGCGACCTTCTTGCTGTGAGGCCACAGTGCTAATCACTGAGTCACAGTGCCGCCCACTAAAAGTTCAGATTGGTCCAAATATTGATTTCTTACCTCTTCTAAAATTATGTTAAAAAACATGGACCCTTTGGCTAATATATAGGTAATTGTTTGAGTAAAACCTTTTTTGTTCTGTAAATTACTGAAGACAGACATTGTCGTTTAGAGATACATACATACATACATACAAATATACATACATATGTATTTATGTATGTATGTATGTATGTATGTATATATATATATATATATATATATATATATATATATATATATATATATATATATATATACACACACACACACACACACACACACACACACACACACACACACACACACACACACACACACACACACACACACACACACACACTGGCTGCTGTATTTTGTAGTTTATTTTGATACACTTTAACTTAAGGTAATTGGTATTTTATTTGAAAATACATTTCAATGTATTTTGGCCCAGCCCTGTATAAATTTAAGAAAACACAACACTGTTTTACCAATAGAGGTAAAGTTAGTTTTATATTAACATATTAGTTCATTTAGCTGTCTTTATATTGTTTACCGTGTTACTTTGAATATTCGATTGGAATTAACATGTAAGTGTGACTTGAAAACAACATTAACGCTGTTTATTTGACTGTGAACAATGTTGTACTTTCATTCATTGGCTGCTAATTTGATTTCGCTATTTAGAGTTTGCAAATAATACTTCCATGAAGTTATATTATTAAGGGGAAAGTCCAAATGTGCGAATATAAAACCAACTTTACCTCTATGTTTTACCACAGTATATAGGGGTAATAAGCTACAACATAAGGACCAAATAATACAGATATTTAAGCTGAAATAAAAAGGTTGTGGAAGATCAAAAGGTTGTACAATGCTAAATTTTAATTAGCTCTGCTGTAAAAGATTAATTATAAGGCAGATTTAGCTCTATAGCTAATGGTAAACGTTAAAAAGACGGTACTTTCTGTTAATAGTTAAATAGATCTTGATAAATGGACGAAGTGTGTCCTGAATAAACTATTATATCTGGCAAATGCTCACCGACAAACAATCATATATACAGACTGAGCATAATAACATTTACAACAGTTATTATCCTATATAATCTTCAACATTTAACGACATTTCAGGTGAATATGCTGTAGAAAGTCGCCTGTTACTGTTTTCTTTCTCGGCTATAGTACGTTATATTACCTAACACAGACTCTACAAATGACCTACGTTATATTTAATAACATAAATCGCGTGTTTAACATAACTCTCAAACTATATTTTGAACGTTTTATCGCTGAATTTGTACCTTTGGTCGCTGGAAGAGGTGAAGTGTTCTGTTCTGTTCTCCTGTTATCAGCTGACGCTTTTGCTCGGACGACTTCCGGTGGTGTCACGGTGACGTCATATATTGGCTCCCCTTTGTCGCTACACCACTGATCTATAAATAATGTGTGCCAGATGACGATCCGTATGGATAGAGAACTTAGAAAATAGTCATTCTATATAGAGATCAGTGTTTAAGCCCACGTTTGTACTTTTCTTTGTTTTTCCTTGACAGATAATAAACTGTTGGGTGTCCAATTAAAGATTAATTGTAATTGTTCCAGAATAACAATAAAAGGCTAAATATTGAAAAAAATTATTATTCATTTATTATTATTATTAATAATAATAATAATAAAAATAATAAAAATATTAATAATAACAGCAAAAAACAAAACAAAAGTCATTATTAGTAGTATATAATTATTATATTTATTTTAAATAATTATTATTAATATTTATATACTTTTCTAAATTATATTATGAATGTATTATTATTGCTGTAAGTAATAAGTATTAAAATAATAACAATATATTATTTCTACTAATATTAACTGTGCTGCTTTAATTACGATTATGACTATTATGTTTATATTTTTATACATGTATTAATCATTATTTTTTATTGTTAAATTTAATAATAGTTAGATATTAATAATAGCTATTATATTTATTATTGTTATTATTAATACATATCCATAAAACATAAACATATTAGTTATACCATATAATATTATATGATGTTTATCACGGTTAAACATCTATATTGTCCCTATAATTATCATCTATATTATTTCTATAATTAATAATAGTTGATAAATTTATATATTTATTATTTTTACTTCTACTACTACGAATTATCATCATTATTATTATTATTATTATTATTAATATTATTAATAATATTAATAATATTATTATTGTATTTTAACTAGTATTATTGTATTTGTATTGTAATAAAACATTTTTATAATTATTTTCAATCTTTTATAAACCACTTTACATATTATATATAATATAATGTTTAATTATACATTTATACCAAATTTATACTAATTAAATATACTATTGTAATGATAATTATAATAATTAGCAGTGGTAATTGGAGCAATAATAATTTATTTCATTATTTATAAATTATTAATAACTATTAAGAAAGCTTTACTTTACTAAACATTGAATATAAAATAAAAAATATATTATTTATTATTATTATTGTTATTATTATTACTTTACCTTCTTATGTCTTTTTAATCAAGCTTAAATCGAATTTATATTTTACTGTTCCCCATCAGCAGTGTAAATATCCATCAGTGTCAAGAGCCAATAAGAGAAATACACGCCTCGGTCGCGCGCCTTTATTCATTGGCTGTTATTTGTGCCTTCACACTTTCCGTATTGCCGCTCGGCATTTGGCTTTTCTTTCTTTCTCCACGGGCGTCTGCGGGAATAACTGTGTGTGTGAGAAAGTGTGCGTGTGTGAGTTTGTCCGTGGATCATCATGGCCACGCGTGATTTCTATTTCAACACTGTGCTTTCACTCGCGCGTTCACTGGCAGCACACCGACCAGCGCCCGTCGAGAAGGTACTCGCACACACACTCACACAGACACTCACACAAACGCACACTCTCTGTTAAAGCCCTGCATTGTTATGAAATTGCGTGTTTTGGTGATGCGCGCGCGCGACAGGTGTCACTACTGTAAGTTTGTTGCGCAGTAATGCAACAGCTGTTATCATTCTTACAATGCACTTTCATATTTACACATTTGTGCTTGCATTTTGCATTCATATTACGCTCATCTTAAATATATCACGGCATATGCACTAGGGCTGCACTGACATTTCCATGTTTTGTTTTTCTTTGATATACAGTTGAAGTCAGAATTATTAGCCCCCCTGTTATTTTTTTTCCCGATTTTTGTTTAACGTTGAGATTTTTTTCAACACATTTCTAATCATAATAGTTTTAATAACTCATTTTTAATAACTGATTTATTTTATCTTTGCTATGATGACTGTAAATAATATTTACTGGATATTTTTCAAGACACTTCTATACAGCTTAAAGCTGGGGTGTCCAAGCTCGGTCCTGGAGAGTTTAGCTCTAACCCTAATCAAACACACCTGAACCAGCTAATCAAGCTCTTACTAGATAATAGAGGTAAAATTGGTTTTATATTCACATATTCGTTCATTTAGAAGTCTCTATATTGTTTACCGTGTTACTTTGAATATTCGATCGGAATTAGCATGCAAGTATGAAGTTAGGATGATTGGAAGGATGATTCTAAGGACGTTACTATCACACCCCATTCACACGCGGCGTCAGCTTCAGCGCTTCCCATTCACTTTGAATGGCTGACGTCAGGCATTGCAGAACTGCATTGTGGAGCCGTCGGCGCTGCTTCAGAGGCATTGCTTGCTGCAAAAGTTTGGACTTGTTCAACTTTTCAAGTGCAAACGGAAGCGTCAGCCAATCAGATCGCTGTATGCAAATACACCAGCTCAGACAGTGGCCTATTGCTGACTGAATTTCATTGGCTGACGCTGCTATGATGATCACGTCAGCCCCAAATTCAGACACGCCCTCTGTCAAGCGTCGACGCTGAAGCCCCTTGTGAATGGGACGTCAGGGCCTAGTTACAATCTCCACTCTCACCCCCGCTAGGCATGGAAATAACCTTAAAATAAATATCACAGTTTGATGGTTTTGTGATTACTGCTCTAAATTATCTGCTTTTTAAATGTCTGGGTAAAAAAACAACGTTTTCCCTTTGAACAAAATAGATTTTATTTAAAGAAACGTTTATACAGTTAAAAGTAAACTTGTAAGTAACTCATGAAAGAATAAAGGCATGCTAAAATCAAGCACACCATTGTTTTTCTTGTGAAATTCCCAATAAGTTTAATGTGTCACATGACACTCTTCCTATTGAAAAAACAAAAGTTAGATCCAAGATGGCCGACTTCAAAATGGCCAGCATGGGCTGCGTCCGAAACCGCCTACTACTCAGTAGATACTGCTTTTGAATTTAAACGTACTACTCGGCCGTTAAAAAAGTACGTTCTATACAGTATGAATGTGAAAAGTATGAATGGAATTCGGACGCACTACATCCGCCATTTTGTCATGGTCACGTGACCTACCTGCGTCAGTTGCATCGACTCACTTCCATTCATGAATGCTCTCGCGGGGCATTATAGAATAGCGGAGCGTGCATGGGATGTGCACTCCAGAATCTCGCCGGAAGTAGTAAGTCATCCGGGTACTTCTCGCATACTGATTTTCGAATTCTATGAATTCTGACATACTACTCGGCTCGTATACTGATTTTAGCATACTATATAGTATGGAAGTATGTGGTTTCGGACGCAGCCATGGTCACCACATATCTTGAAAAGTTTGCCCCCTCACATATACTGTCTGGGTAAAAAAACTACGTTTTCCCTTTGAACAAAATAGATTTTATTTAAAGAAACGTTTATACAGTTAAAAGTAAACTTGTAAGTAACTCATGAAAGAATAAAGGCATGTTAAAATCAAGCACACCATTGTTTTTCTTGTGAAATTCCCAATAAGTTTGATGTGTCACATGACACTCTTCCTATTGAAAAACAAAATGCCGACTTAAAAATGGCCAGCATGGGCTGCGTCCGAAACCACCTACTACTCAGTAGATACTGCTTTTGAATTTAAACGTACTACTCGGCCGTTAAAAAAGTACGTTCTATACAGTATGAATGTGAAAAGTATGAATGGAATTCGGACGCACTACATCTGCCATTTTGTCATGGTCACGTGACCTACCTGCGTCAGTTGCGTCGCCTCACTTCCATTCATGAATTCTCTCGCGGGGCATTATAGAATAGCGGAGCGTGCATGGGATGTGCACTCCAGAATCTCGCCGGAAGTAGTAAGTCATCCGGGTACTTCTCGCATACTGATTTTCGAATTCTATGAATTCGGACATACTACTCGGCTCGTATACTGATTTTAGCATACTATATAGTATGGAAGTATGTGGTTTCAGACGCAGCCATGGTCACCACATATCTTAAAGTTTGCCCCCTCACATATACTAATGTGCCACAAACAGGACTTTAATATCACCAACCATTTCCATTTTATTAAGGTGTATCCATATAAATGACCCACCCTTTATATTGAGTAAACTTTCGGGTTTGGGGTGAACTATCCCCCTTAAAGTTAAACTTCACTGGGATATAATGCCAGTACTGGATTGCAACTGGAAGGGCATCCGCTGTGTATAAAATAAGCTGGAATAGTTGGTGGTTCATTCCGCTGTGGTGATCCCTGATGAATAAGGGACTAAGCCAGGGATGTCAAACTCAATTCCTGTAGGGCCGCAGCTCTGCACAGTTTAGCTCCAACCCTGCTTCAACACACTTACTGCTAGGATTCAAACAAGCCTGAAGGGCTCAATTAGTTTGATCAGGTGTGTTTAATTAGGACTGGAACTAAACTGTGCAGGGCTCCAGCAATTGAGTTTGGCATCCCTGGACAAAGCTGAAGGAAAATGAATTAATAATAAATGTTGCATAGGAGTACTAATATTTTTGCCCTCAGCTGTACAATTGAAGTCATATTTTTCCATTATCGTGCGTGCAGCCCTAATTTGCATTACGCACATACATTTGTGATATTTAGATGTACTGCGCAGCTCCATATTAAACAGATAAACAAACCCGACAGCTGAGAGTTGTCACATGTGCGGGGGCTTTAACACAGATGCCAGGCTCTCAGCGGTGCCAGTGTGTGCCAGCCGGGCGGATGGCAGTGTTTTCTGCTGTGACTGACTGCATGATGGTGTTTATTGCATCATGTGTCGATCTAGACTTCAGCTTCAGCTCTTGTCAGATGCATTTACACATGGACAGATTCATCACTGCAGGCAAACATCAGCAGCACTGCTCTCTGATGAATGCTGGGTTATTCTCTCTCAACATTGGGTCAAATCTGGACAAACCCGAACATTGGGTTAAAAATGCAAATTAAATTAAATTTAAAAAAACAACCCAACAGTTGGGGGTTGTCCATAATAATTACATTTAAATTACACTTTTTATGGGCGGCATGGTGGCTCAGTGGTTAGCACTGTCACTTCACAGCAAGAAAGTCACTAGTTCGAGTCCTGGCTGGGTCAGTTGGCATTTCTGTGTGGAGTTTGCATGTTCTCCCCATGTTGGTGTGGGTTTCCTCCGGGTGCTCTGGTTTCCCCCACAGTCCAAACACATGCGCTATAGGGAAATTAATCAACTAAATTGGCCGTTGTGTGTGTGTGTGAATTAGTGTGTATGGGTGTTTTTTAGTACTGGGTTGCGGCTGGAAGGGAATCCGCTGTGTAAACATATGCTGGATAAGTTGGTGGTTCATTTCGCTGTGGTAACCTCTGAAATATATACTAAACTAAAGCAAAATATATGAATGAATATTAACTAGGGATGTAACGGTATTGTAAATACCGTCATACCGCAATATTAATTTTTTTCGATATTACCGTAGTCGCATGACTCGGTAAAACTATAGGTCTTCTGAGAAAATTTGCTCAGGCGAATGAAGCGAACGGGAGGTAGCGGAAACTACAATTCCCATCAGCCCAGGCTTGGCCATAATCCCTTGCGGTCTGTTGTCGCTACAGATCCAGTAATGCGGAAATGGAGTGTGCTGCTAGCATAGATATATACACTAGATATCGCATGGGGACCCTGAGCATGCGTCAATAGCGCCGCCACATTGGTACAGTGCTCCCAGGACAAATGTCGTTCAACTGCACTAGTCAAGACAGTGTTATTACGTGAAGATGCGAGACTTTAGCGCTGTCTATGGGTGTAGTAACGAGCAAACAAAGAAAACAAAGCACAAAGGCAGAACATTTCATAGGTAATATTATGTTTTTTTCTGTTTTTTGTATGTCCTGTACTTTTGTGCTAAACAGGTAACGTTATTGATGATAACAGTCACTTACTGCATTCACCATACGGCAAAGCAGCTCCAACTCGCACTAAACACTCGGCTTATGCTAGTTTTGTTGAATAAAATCAGCAAACAATGCAAAAGAAATATGACAACGAGATGCTGCGCTGCCAGAAACTTGTATTATTGTCGGCTAACGTTAGTGAAAGAGTCGTTCGGGGATTCATTCACAAACAAATCGCTCTCTCCGTCAGTATGAGAAGTGAAAGCAGAAGAGGAGGTGTGTTTCAGGACACGGATTATATTAAATTTAACAGGGAGGGTGAATAGTACATTTCTGTACACACAAACACAAGCTTTTTGTCAGGAATGCCCGTGCGGTCACTGATCCATCAATGTAGAAAAGTGAAGTAAAATAAAAATTTTCGTAATAAGAAAAAAAAATTACATACTAACATCCAGGGAAACTCCCGATCACAGATATATGTGTATATGTGTATATCTGTACGGCCACAGTCCTCAACTGTACCTTGGTCCTGCATTCATTTCAAAGGAGCGCTACCCTGTAGCAAGATGGCGGCGCTATTGACGCATTCCGTCAAATAGACAACAATAGGCCAGGCGACATCTAGTGTATATATCTATGTGCTGCTAGAAGCGGGGATGAAAAAGAGCTGGAAAACCCTAAAGCGGGTGTAAAGCGGGGACGGAGGGTATGTCGCGTCGCGGGGGCACTTTTGATCATTTTGGAAGGGAACTTTCTATCCAAGACTAAAAAGGGCATGTGCACTGCACAGGTTGAGCACTGTGTGTGCACGTGCCTGCAAGTTGGGGAACACGACTAATAATCAGTCATGGGGACTGCAGCAACACAGCACACTGTTTAGATTGATGCAGACATGAGATCTCTATCTCACTCATGGCTTGTCCTCTCAAGTGGGGGAAAGACAATGCACAACGTTACTCACTGCTGTCAACCTGGGACAAGTCATATCTCTCTGTCCCAGAAACCTCAGTCCCAAATGAGAGGGTTTTTTTTCTGTTGCAGGGGACATTGTAAATACCCAGAGATACCAGCTTTTACCAGATTATATTTATATGATAATTTTCCTTTAAACCCATCTCTAAGTGAGTGCGTGATTAAATGTTGAATGTGAGGAGTTTTCAACAATACTAAATTGAAACTTTATTTTTTTACATGGTTTAATATTTTTTTGTTATTAAAATTGAAGTTCCTGTTTCAAAGCTTATACAGATAGATGGCTAATTTGTATGTCATTGACACTTTTGGCACTTTTTTGGAGTATTTTCATAAGTTTTGTTTTTTCCTGTAAATGATTCAATAAATACCGTACCGTGACATTCATACCGAGGTATTACCGTGCCGTGAAATTCTGATACCGTTACATCCCTAATATTAACTATTGGGTCGAATATTGACAAACCCAATTGTTAATATGCCATTTAAATGAATAAAGCGATTAAAAAAATAACCCAAGCTTTGGTTTGTCCATATTTGTTCCAACTTTGGGTTAATAAAACCCAGCTTAAGGCAGTGTTTTCTGCTGTGACTGACTGCATGATGGTGTTTATTGCATCATGTGTTGATCTAGACTTCAGCTTCAGCTCTTGTCAGATGCATTTACACATGGACAGATTCATCACTGCAGGCAAACATCAGCAGCACTGCTCTCTGATGAGTGCTGGGTTATTGTAACCCAACATTGGGTCAAATCTGATCAAACCCGAACATTGGGTTAAACGTAAACTAAACTAAATTAAAATAAATAAATAAATAATAATAATAACTTAATAGTTGGGTTAGTCCATAATTGCCCCAACACTGGGTTAAAACAACCTAAAAATTTTTTTAATTATTTAAATGTATTATCTGAGTTTATTTTTAATTAATTGCATTTAAATTACACTTTTTATAATCTAATAGTCCATATTTGACACAAGGTTGGGTCAATACAGCCCAGCGTTTTTCCCAGCAGCATTTCTACACTCTAAAAAATGCTGAGTAGTTGTTATATGATGCAAATCTCAAATTTGGTCTCACCTAACATTGGGTTAATTCTTTAATTAAAATTAAATGAGGCTTTTTAACACAGCTATTGGGTTTGTCCATATTTAACCCAGCATTTTTAAAGCATACACAACTACCCAGCAGTGTACACTGTAAAGATGCAGAGTTGTTGTAATTCAAATTCTGGGTCAAATATGGTCAAACTCAAACATTAGGTAAAAAATATAATAAAAAATTTAATAAAACCCCCCCCAACAGGTTAATCCAAAATTGACCCAACACTGGGTTAAAACAGCCTAGAAATTTACGATTTTAGAAAATTATTTAAATGTATTATTCATTCATTTTCCTTTGGCTTAGTCCCTTTATTCATCAGGGGTCGCCACAGCGGAATTAACCGCCAACTTACCCAGCATATGTTGCCCTTGTAGCTGCAACCCAGTTCTGGGAAACACACACACACACACACACACACACACACACACACACACACACACACACTAATGTAGTTAATCAATTACCCTATAGCGCATGTGTTTGGACTGTGGGGGAAATAGCAGCACCTGGAGGAAACCCACACCAACACGGGGAGAACATGCAAACTCCAACCAGAAATGCCAACTGACCCAGATGGGACTCTGTTGCCAATTAGAATAATATAAAGATGTATTATTTGAATATATATTTTAAATCAATTACATTTTAAATGACACTTTTTTTGTAATCTAATAGTTGAGTTTTTCCATATTTGACCCAACTCTGGGTCTAAACAACTAATTAATTGCATTTAAATGACACTTTTTGTAATCTAGCTGTTGGGTTTCTCCTTATTTGACACAACGTTGGGTTCATAAAGGCGTGTCCACTCTAATCTCCGTTCTGGAGGGCCGGTGTCCTGCAGATTTCAGCTCCAACTAGCTTCAACACACCCGCAAGGATGTTTCTAGAGAGCCTAGTGAAGCTGCGGTCACATTAGAATTTGAGCTTGCGATATTCTGTCGTGCGGCGCTGCGAAAAGGGGCGGGATTAAACAAGATTATTAGGCTTTAAAAAAGCGAGCGATTGCTCCATGTTTTAAATTTCTGTCCAGAGAGGTCGTGTTTTGTGTCTGATTGAAGTTGGAACTAAACTTTGCAGGACACCGGCCCTCCAGGACTGAGTCTGGACATCTCTGGGTTAATATAACTCAGCATTTCTTTGAGTGTGTTAAACCCACTGGGTCAGAAATCATGTTATTTTCAGTGGGCTAACTCACGAGATGTCAAAGCATGCGTGAATCTGTGAACAGGTTGTTCTTGTTCTGCAGATCGAGCTGTTGCTTATTTCCGTCTCAGAAGGAAGTTTTTTATATCTCAAGCTTTTATCAGAGATACTGCCGCTGCTGAGGATCAGCCTGTGGGATTTATGACCAATTGCAAGATTTCTACAATCAAAAACAAAATGCAGAGCTGGGGTTACATAACGCAAACTTCAAATATGGACATATCCAACATTGAGTTAATTTTTTGTCCTTAAATTTAAATGAGCCTTTTAAAAACAACTGTTGGGTTTGTCCATATTTAACCCAGCATTGGGTTATGACAATCCAGCATCTTTTAGAGTGCACACAACAACCCAGCAGTGTACAACTCTAAAAAAATGCAGAGATGTCATGACCCAATGCCGGGTTAAATATGGACAAACCCAACATTGGTTAAACTTTTTTTTAAATTAAATTTAAATGAACCTTTTCAAAACAAAATGCATTTGTCCATATTTAACCCAGCATTGGGTTACGACAACCAGGCATTTCTAGAGCATACACAACAACCCAGCATATACGCTCTAAGAATGCAGAGTTGTCATAGCCCAAATTCTGGGTCAGATATGGACACGCCTAACATTGGGCTCTTTTTAAATGAAATTTAAATGAGCCTTTTTAAAACAACTATTGCATTTGTCTATATTTAACCCAGCGTTGGCTTACAACAACCCAGCATTTTTTAGAGCGTACACAACAATCCAGCAGTGTACACTTTAAAGAAATGTAGAGTTGTTGTAACCCAAAATCTGGGTCAAACATGGACACACACAACATTGGGTTAATATATTTAAAAAAATAAAATTAAATGAGCATTTTTAACCCAGCATTGGGTTACAACAACTCTGCATTTTTAGAGCGTATGCAACAATCCATCTACGCTCAAAAAATGTTGTCATAACCCAAATTCTGGGTCAAATATGGACAAACCCAACATTGGGTAATTTTTTTATTTAATTTAAATGGCTTTTTAACACAACTGTTGGGTTATGTTGTGTTTAACACAACTTCCAAGCTTCAAGGTGGAAGAAGGAGAGGAGGGGGGTTTCTTCCAGACGAAGATAGTTGTAGAAAGGAAATGAGGATTTACTGTATGTATTGATGTGAGATCCTTTGATTGGAGGATCATGATTAGCTAATGTGGGCCAGCTGGGTCAATCATGAGCATGTGCACCTGTCGAAACTAGTTTAAGATTAAACTGCACATAATCTATTGTAAAACTAAGGGGTGTCACGATTTCGATTTTAAATCGAAATCGATCGAAATTTATGCTCAATTTTGATTATCGAATCAAAAAACAGAAACCCAAATTCTGGGTCAAATATGAACAAACCCAACACTGGGTTAATTATTGTTTTTTAATTAAATAAATAAAAATGTTATCCACTTTGAGCCTTTTCAACACAAGTGTTGGGTTTGTGGATATTTAACCCAGCTTTGGGTTACGAAAACCTGGCATTTCTAGAGCAAACACAACAACCCAGCAATGTACGCTCTAAAAAATCTAGAGTTGTCATGACCCTGACTGGTGTGTGTGTGTGTGTGTGTGTGTGTGTGTGTGTGTGTGTGTGTGTGTGTGTGTGTGTGTGTGTGTGTGTGTGTGTGTGTGTGTGTGTGTGTTTTCATGTCCACAGGTGCAGAAGCTGCTGTGTATGTGTCCCTGTGACAGTCGTGGTGTGTTTGTTCTGGATGTGCGGCGCAGAGATGCGGTCATCGCTCTGGCTGTGTTTCTGGTCGAGTCTGATTTACAGGTGAGTGTTGTGTATACCACATGTGTTTGGACTGTGGGGGGAAACCAGAGCACCCGGAGGAAACCCACGCCAACACTGGGAGGACATGCAAACTCCACACAGAAATCCCCACTGACCCAGCTGGGACTCGAACCAGCAACCTTCTTGCTTGTCATTTCTGGTTGGAGTTTGCATGTTCTCCCCGTGTTAGTGTGGGTTTCCTCCCGGTGCCCTGGTTTCTCCCACAGTCCAAACGCATGCGCTATAGGAGAGTTGATCAACTAAATTGGCCGCAGTGTATGAGTGTGTGTGAATGAGTGTGTATGGATGTTTCCCAGTACTAGGTTGCACCTGGAAAGGGCATCTTTGCCAAACGTATGCTGGAATAGTTGGCAGTTCATTCTGCTGTGGTGACCCCTGAAGAGCAAAGGTACTAAGCCAAAGGAAAATAAAATTTGTTTTTTTTTTTTATTCTCAGCACAAAGATACCGTGGTAAATTACCTGCTGAGTCTGCTGAAGGGATTACCCAGAGTGCAATGGGTGGAGGAGAATGCTGGGAGAAAGTGTAAAGGTACCAGCTGCTTCATTCATCATCATCATGCATCTGTATATAGTGATGGGAGGAAAAAAAATCAGTAATGAACACACAACCAGGGGTGCGTTTCCCAAACAACGACATAACTCGCGGCCATAACCTGTAGTTTCTCTATCGCAGATCCATCGCTTGAACTTTGTTAGTTGTAATGTAAAACGCCCATAATGACGCTCTAAATAGGGTGGAGTAACTACTTCTTTAGAGAGGAACCCCATTGTTTATTTGTGCAAATTATATTGTTTTACAAAAACTCAATTTATTTAAAATAAAATCCAATATTAGTTTTGGTAATGCACTCGCTGTCCATATTAATTGAAATATATGTAAATCGTACATAAAGGGGCTTGTGTTTGCTTTACAAATTATAGAGAACATTACTTCAAGAGTTCACACTTTGCTCATGATTTCTACATAGCTTGTTTGGCGTGCTGTCCCGGGAGAGAACCCTAAGCTTAAGGGATCCCCGGGCCCAGGGCTCCCTCCTTTCGCAGGGCGAGGGAAAAATTGAGCTCAGGTCAATCTCAAACTCCCCCGCTGCTGAGTCTAAGGGTGCTTTCACACCTACACTTTTGTTTCGGAACGTATCTCGTTTGCCCAGTTAGCGCGGTTCGTTTGGCATATGTGAACAGGGCAATCGCGCTCTGTTCCGCGCCAAAGTAATCGCTCCGAGATCGCTTGAATGAGGTGGTCTCGGCTCGATTGAAACGAACACTGGAGCGGTTCGATTACAGTGAGAAAGCGATATGATATGAGCGCGGTTATATCACAGTGTTTTATGGATATGTAATAGGCTTACGGCTATATGAAGAGAGAATTATGAGTAGGGCGGGAAGTTTCGCGAGTCTCCGGATGCCCGCAAACGAGTGATGATCTCCTGGTAATCTCGTGTCTCTCTCCCAGTCCTCAAATAGGCATTGTAGCGCATCCTTCTCACCCCTCCCCACCGTGTCTCTCCTCAGACATGTCACGCGCGCACCCTGTCAATCACCACCAAACCACCACCTCTCCTGACAGCTGAGCGGGACGCTGCAAAATAAACCCTGACACTGACCAATGTAAGGAGAGTTTACTCGCACGTGACTTGTTTTAGCTCTTTTGGTCCGATTAGAAACTTTGCAGTGTGAAAGCGAACCGCTCCAAGAGCAAAGAGCAACAATGTAACATTTGTAATCTCTGTTTCGGAACAACTGAATCGATTCACAGGTGTGAAAGCACCTTAAGGTGAACTTTCTGAGAGTAAAGCCTGGTTTATATTTCTGCGTCAAGTGACCAGCGTAACCATCGGCGCATGCAACGTGTGTAGCTGTGCATTTATACTTCTGTGCGCTGTCTCTGGTCTGCATTAACACTTCCGAAACGCTAGTTGGCAGTGAGGTGTAAATGTTCCTCTGTGTCGAGTTTCTTCGCTGTTGTTTTGCTTTTCTGAACACTTCCGGGATGTACAAGTGGCTCAAACTCGCTCATTTTGAGGCAGGAACCGGCGAATGTGCAACAACTTTAACTATGAGGTAAACACAAAACAAAACTTTCCATCAGGAGCTCCTTTACGGGACTTCACACTTGTAGACAATCGCTCCATTGGGCTCGCGCCCAGCTCGCACCATTCGCGCAGCTCTCGGTCCCGCCCAGACTCGTCAGCGCTACCAATCCGACCAATCACAGAGCTTGCACTACGCGTCATTGCGACGTGTAGTTTTATTTTTTGACAGGTGCACGTCAGTGACGCCGACGGCCACGGCGAAGGGCTATGCGTCATGCCGCCCATTCTGGATAAAGCTGCGGTCACACTGCACTTTTCTCCTCATAGACTTCCATTCATACGCACGTGAATGCGTCAGACCGGAAACACAGGGTCATGCGTCAAGTTTCTGCGGTGCAAAGTTCAAGCTTGGTGAACTCTGACCGGCGAAATCGCATCACTTGACTGCGTGAGACCAATCGAGGATCAAAACACGACCTCTCTGAACAGAACTTTAAAACTTTAGAACTTTATTCCCACCCCTTTTCAAAGCGACGCATGACAGAATTTCACATTATCAAACTCTAGTGTGACCGCAGCTTCAAGGAGGAAGAAGGAGAGCAAGGGGGTTTCTTCCAGACGAAGATAGTTGTAGAAAGGAAATGAGGATTTACTGTATATAGTGATGTGAGATCCTTTGATTGGAGGATCATGATTAGCTAATGTGAGCCAGCTGGGTCAATCATGAGCACGTACACCTCTCAAACTAGTTTAAGATTAAACTGCACATATTCTATTGTAAAACTAAGGGTGTCACGATTTCAATTTTAAATCGAAATCGATCAAAATTTATGCTCAATTTTGATTATCAATATCGAAAAATAGAATCGTCGATGCTGCCACGCCCCCATGTCACGTCAGCTTGGCTTGCCAAGCGGGAAAAAACAGGCTTGTTGAAGTGCTTGTTAAGCTGCAAATGCAAGGACACCTGTCGACAGAGCTTAAACCCTCTCCTCTTTCAATAAAGTCGCTGGAGGAAGTATTTTGGATTTGAGTTATGTTGACAATGTTCATGTTGTCGACAACAAAAACACAGTTTGCAAGCTCTGCTATGTACGTATTAGGGTTGGGCCGATAGATGATGGGCACATCACGATCCTCCGACCGCCCCCGTTGTAAATCCGCTCGCGAAAAATACACACTCACACCCTGTTTACACTAATAGGTGTTTGTTTTTAAATGGCATTTTAGAACGAAAATGATTTGACATCCACACTGGCGTGTAGCATTTCTGAGCAGCCCTCCTTCCTCTCTACCGCTGAAAACACACATCACGTGACCACACACACTCATTCACACACAGACACAGACGCACATACAGTCATGTGCTCGAGACAGCTGGTCCAGGCAGTCAGCGAGTCAGTAGACTGCTTCCATCTTTTACTTTCACACTAGTACTTATTCATTTTAGCGAATACCTCAGATACTGTTGGCTGGTTCCTGTTGGTTTTTACCGACGCCATTATAACGACACAGATCACTCTGCCTATTCACGAGTCTCGCAGAAAAAAGTAATTGACATGTGGTAATTATGTGTGAATTATGTGTGTAACTTAGTGAAGTTTCTCAAACTAAGAGAGAGGAGCACGTGATGGGATTGACTACAGCTGATATCCAGCCTAAACTTCAATCCTCATCTTCGTTTTGGAACCCACCCCCCCCCCCCCATCCATCCCTTCTCCCTCCTCCTCAGTTTGGGCGACACGGTGGCTTGGTGGCTAGCGCTGTTGCCCCACAGCAAGGAGGTCATTGGTTCAACACTAGCTGAGCCAACCGGTACTCTCTGTGCGGAGTTTGCATGTTCTCCCCGTGTTCGCGTGGGTTTTCCCCGGGTACTCCGGTTTCCTCCCACACTCAAAAGCTATGCAACAAAAGTTAAAGTTACGAGCACTTACTACAAACTAGCACAACTAGTGATCTATTTTGGGAAGCTATCGAGTACTACCTGATCTCATATCCCTCCAAATGCTTATTGACCAGGCGGGAGCCTTGGGCTCATCTATCACCGAGCTCAGGGTTCTCTCCCGGGACAGCATGCTAAACTAGCTTAAATAGTCAAGCATTATTTAAGTGTGAACTCTTGAACCTTTATTTATTTACTGTATAATTTGTTTATGGGTAAAACAAAGACCATGCAGATCAGGTAGTTTAAACGGTAGGCTACAAATAATTAATTCGTTATTAATTAATTAATTATTCATAATCGTAAATTTTATTGAATCGTGACTTTAGAATCGAAAATGTAATCGAATCGAGGATTTGGAGGATCGTGACACCCTTATCTAAAACATAAAATCACTTACAAAAGCGAACACGTATTCTAACATCATATATAAATCATATAAATAAATAAATAAATGAGGCGTTGTCTTAAGAAATCAAATTTAATATTTATAAGGAAAGAATACTTTAATAATAATATTAATAATGATGATTGTTATTATTATTATTAAGTATTTATTTTTACAATGTGACATGCAAGCTACTGCAGAAATCTTTTAACCAGCAGGCCCATGTTATATACAGTACAGATACTTAATAAATAACCTACTATAAATTAAAAGCCTTAACGTATGCTATGTTTTTTGTTTTACAAGCTTTGGAGACGTAACGTAAATTCCGCTATTAAATAATAGGTCACCTATAGTATTATCATGAGCCACGGCTGTGTTCCAAATGATATCAATGTTTTCAAAGTGCACTGCGAAGGAAGCACATGGCAAACATGCAGATTGCTAAAACTGAACTGAAAAAATACTTTGAAAGCAAATTACACCTAAGAGAAATGACCTTAATGCTTTTTTATTTTAAATAATTCCAAGTTTAAATGTTAGAATGTTCTAAATGAATAGGGCATAGGGGGGATAACTGGGAAAAGAACACAGCCAGGAACTATGTTTCTAATTACATCCCTAGAGGTGTAGACGCATGTGCACAAGTTTGCGACGCAGTTTGCAAATGTTCATTGGAACGATGGATTTAGGAAACAGCAAATCAACGAACTATGTTTGTAAAGACGGAACTTGCGACCTTAGTTTGCTAACGGTGGTTTTGGGAAACGCACTCTAGATTAGCAATTAAAATCTCCGTTATCATATTACTTTGACTACATACAAATGCTATTTTATTATCATGGTAGCACAGTAAAATACCTCAATCCCATAATATATTTTCTCTAATGTTAAATTATTATTTCTTCTGGATCTTCATATTAAATTGATGGTAAATCCAATGTAAAAAGCTCTTTGTACTTTGTAATTTTTATTTTACATTTTCGTCATTTAGCAGACGCTTTTATCCAAAGCGACTTACAAATGAGGACAAGGAAGCAATTTACACAACTATAAGAGCAACAATAAATAAGTGCTGTAGGCAAGTCTCGGTATGTAAAGTGTAAGAAGCAAAACATTAAGAATTTTTATTTTTTTTGTAATACAGTTAGCGGTAGAACCAGAGAGGGAATTGCAGATTAGGAAGGAAAGTGGAGACTAAATAGTTGAGTTTTTAGTCATTTTTTGAAAACAGCGAGTTTTTCTACCGTTCTGATGCAGTTTGGGAGTTCATTCCACCAACTGGGCAGATTGAACACGAGAGTTCGGGAAAGGGATTTCTTCCCTCTTTGGGATGGAACCACGAGGCGACGTTCATTCACAGAACGCAAGTTTCTGGAGGGCACATACATCTGCAGAAGTGAGAGCAGATAAGAAGGAGCAAGGCCAGAAGTCGCTTTGTAAGCAAACATCAGAGCTTTGAATTTGATGCGAGCGGCAACTGGCAGCCAGTGCAAACGGATGAGCAGCGGAGTGACATGTGCTCTTTTAGGTTCATTAAAGAAATAAAAATTATGTAGTGAACAATATTGAAACACTGAAAATTATTAAACACAATACTGAAAAATAACAAACACACTATAAAATAAAAATTATATAATTAAAAATAAAAAAATATAGAATTTTTTTTTTAAAATACTGGAAAATACCAAAAACATTATAAATAAAAATTATATAATGAAAAATAACCAAACATAATGTAAGTTATGAAAAAAGTTACAAAAAATTACAAAAAAATGTTATTAAAATATATATAATGAAAACTAACAAAATAATGCAGAAAGTTTTTGAAAAATGTACTGAAAAATAACAAAAACACTGTAAATTAAAAATAAATAATGAAAAGTAATAAAAAATACTGAAAGTTGTTGACAAAAATACAAAAAAATAACAAAAAATATAAACTAAAAATATATAAAAAACAAAGAATACTAAAAGTTATTTACAGACACACTGAAAAATAACAAAAATTCTATAAAATAACAATTATATAATGAAAAGTAATAAAAATACTGAGTTATTGACAAAACTCCAAAAAATAACAAAAACATTATAAAATAAAAATACATTTAAAAAACAAAGAATACTGAAAGTTATTATCAGAAACACTGAAAAATAGCAAAAACTATAAAATAAAAAATACAATAATTCAAAACTAAAATTATATGATGAAAAATAACAAAAAAAAAATACTGAAAGTTATTGACAATTATGAATAAAAAAAAAAAAACACTATTTTCCGCCATGATGCTTTTTTCTGAAAATAACTAGAATGCTCATCAGCCAATCAGAATCAAGCATTCAGCAGCCCTCTAGCATAAATCCTCATAATACAGCAGTTTATTACGGTGTGTTTCCATGTATAGTGACTTTATTTTTTGTGTGTGATCAGAGTCTCTCCCGATGGCGGAGAACTTCAGCTTCTGTCTGGTGACGCTGCTGTCTGACGTGGCTCAGAAAGACCCAGAGTCTCGCACACAGGTCTGATCTTCAGCATATCTTTGTTACACTCTTAGTTATTTACCTAATGCACTCATTCAAAATCTTTCTGTCCAGATTCTGGAAGCCATCATGGATGTAATGCAGTCTCTGCTGGAGATCTGCCAGACGCCTGAGAATCATGATAAAGGTGATGGACACACACACACACACACACACACACACACACTTGTAGAGCTGTCTTTATGGAGACCTCCTATATACATAATGATTTCAGACTGTATGTTTTGTAATGTCCCCATAATATATATGTACATATATTGCTATATACAAGTATATTGCTATACTTGCAATAACATAGGGAATAAAATGTAAACACACACACGAAGACACACTTGTGAAGCTGTCTTTATGGAGACTTCCCACATCCATAATGATTTTTTTTACTGTGCAGACTGTATATTCTGTAATGTCCTCATTAGGTCAAATTTGACTGGAATTGCTATACTTGTGGGGACATTTGTAAATACGAGGTACACACACACAGGGCTGGGTTCACACTAGACATGTGACATTATTCAATAATACAGTATGTAAGGAATAATTAATGATGAGCAATAGATGTAGCCTGACATTTGAGCTTGGAGGGGGCCAGACGGCAGAAAAATAAAGAAATGGAATAAAAATAAAACAGTAAATATAAAAATAAAATAAAAATGCATAATAAATGCAAAGAAATCTGCGGGTGCACGGCGCTCGCCAGTCTTTATGTGTGAACTACTGAACAACGCATCAATGAGGCTCGCTGACGCGTCGCCGACACCTCGCAGGCGGAAATCCAATATTTAGCATGCTGAATATTCCAGAGCAGTCGGCCGACTCAACCCCACATGTGGTCAGATGTAGTGACGAGCTGCAGCCAATGAGAGAGCATATCAACATGAGCTGAATGGCTGTGTGTTCAGGAGCTCAGCAGAAACATCTGTGATTGGTCAGAATGGGCATCGGTGCACTCGCTTCTTTCTGCGTTAGCACAAACATGAGAGTAGGCTATATTAACAGTGGAACTAGAATTCTGTAACTATTAGAATTACCATACTGCTTATTCTGACCGTTCTCATATAAAACGCCAAATTGCCACAACATATTTACATTCAAAGCTATTATTGAGATATTAAAATTAAGCTTTGAATGTCTGGCATCATCTTTAATGACACCATTACCCTAAAAACATAATTTCTTTGGTAATACAGCCTAGAAATATGTAGTTAAGATACTAGAACACGAAAAGGTCTTGGCTTTCATTTTCACTTTCAAACAGGAGCTATTTAACAGCACAGAATATGCTGTTTTGAAAGATATCTGAAGTAAATTGATGTTTTTGCCATCAGAAAGTTTTGTTTATGTTAGCAGGAAGTTGCTAGGCAAAAAAATGCACACATATTTAAAGTCACAGCGAAAAGTATCAGACATGCTTGCAGTCATGCTGACCAATATGGTAATTTAAGGCAGAAATGCTCAGTTCTTTACTGTTTTGCATTTTTAAAAAAATAACAATGTCAGAAAGAAATACACTGATAGTTAGAAAACGGCAGGGTGTGTTATACAATTACAAAAATTAAAAACTCTCTGTGTATCTATCCACTCGAAACTTGCAGATGAGTGATTAATTCGCTGATGAATCAGCTCATTTGACGATGTTTTTAAATGCTTCCTTGAATGCTTGAAACGCTGTCATTGATGTCATCAGCACACAAGCAGCCAATAGTGTTCAGCTTTTTTTGATGAGTCCTCCCTCAAAATTTGATTGGCTGTGGTTTGGTAGCTTAAATGAGCTGTTGGGGAACGAGTTGTTGTCAGATCATGCAGTGTGTGACCCCCCTCTTGTGGATAATTCACATAGTGTCGTTTAGTGTGAACGCCACAGCGACAACAAGGTTTTTATATATATATATATATATATATATATATATATATATATATGCTTTTTGCTCGCTGTATGTGGGCGGAGTAATACACAAAGGGTAAAGAGGCTGTAGGAGTTCCGATATTGCAGAATATCGCACGGCTATCAGCCAATCAGATTTGAGAACCAGACAGATCTGTTGTGTATATATATGTATATAAATGTGTGTATGTATGTATATATATATATATATATATATATATATATATATATATATATATATATATATATATATATATATATATATATATATATAATCTGTCGGTATTATATTTGGTTTTCATCATGACATTGACTGATGTTCTCCTCCTCCTCTTCAGTTCATCTGTGCCGGTTCGTGGTTCCGTGTCTGCTGGGTGTGGCCCGGGCGTTCGGCCGCTATAGTAATGCAGACGAGCCCCTCCTCTGTCAGCTGTTTCCCCGTGGAGCTCCGCCCCCTGCCACACCTGTCCGTGGATCAGTGGAAACCGAAGGCATCCGCAGAAGATCCTTCAATGACTTCCGCTCCATTCTGCCTAGTTCACTGCTGACTGTCTGCCAGAGCGACACGCTGAGACGCAAGAGCACCGCCACTAACCTCGACGCACAGGTAACATGCGTTTATAGAATAAAACCTGAAAGTTATAATCAATAAAAAGATAGTGAGCAATTCCATACAAATGCCAACCTTGCCATAAAAAAATTAGGTGTTTTTTTTTTTTTTCACCAAAAAAGCGAAACCATTTCTATGTTTTTTGTGTAAGGAAGTATTTTAGAGTACAGTGAAGTCCTCAATGGCTGCGTCCGAAACTGCATACTTCCATACTACATAGTACGCTAAAATCAGTATGTGAGCCGATTAGTATGTCCGAATTCGAAAATCAGTATGCGAGAACTAACCGGATGACTTGCTACTTCCGGCGAGATTCTGGAGTGCACATCCCATGCACGCTATGCTATCCCATGATGTAGAGATCTGCGCAGGACTAAATTTTGAATCCCGTTCCCGCCCACACCCGCCAGGTTTTAGCACGAACCCGACCGCTCCCGCTTATATTCAGCATTTGTTGTCCCGCTGCCCGACCCGCCCCGTTTTCTACCCGCCGCGCCCGATCACGCTAAAGAACGGGGTAAGAACGAAACCGAAAACCACCCAGCTATACAGAGTCCAGACAGACTATAACAAGCTGTCTGTATAAACACACACACACATAAGCACCAAGCACACACACACACACACAGACAAAGCTCTCTCTCTCTCTCTCTCTCTCTCATTTGCGCGCGCACTAACACACACACACATAAGCTCACACACAGGCAAAGCTCTCTCTCTCTCTCAATCTCTCTCATGTGACGCAACTGACGCAGGTAGGGCATGTGACCATGACAAATTGGCGGATGTAGTACGTCCATGTATTAATTCCATTCATACTTTTCACGTTCATACTGTATAGAACGTACTTTTCTACCGGCCGAGTAGTACGTTTAAATTCAAATGCAGTACCTACTGAGTAGTAGGCGGTTTCGCACACAGACAATGTCTCTGTCAATGTTTTTAAACAATTATATATGATTTATCAAAGTCACACGAGTGCCTATTGTTTTTTCAATAGGAAGAGGGTCATTTGACACATCAAACTTATTGAGAATTTCACAAGAAAAACAATGGTGTGCTTGGTTTTATTGTAACTTTATTCTTTCATGAGTTATTTACAAGTTTCTGACCACTTATAAAATGACCACTTATAAAATACAAGATGTGAAGCTCCTGAAACTACAGATACTGGAAGCCTGTGCTGCATTTCTCCTGCGGTGTTGCTATCAGTGTGTGAAGAGTGGGAGAAGAGGGTTGCATTGACAATCCAACACTATACGCTTACTTCACGCGGCCGCCATTTTAAAGAACCAAAGCGAGGCTGTGGTGGGAAGAAACCCGGAAGTATAGGACGAGCACTGTAAACATTGCAGTAACATGCCGTGTACTACCTCCAGCTGTTGCCGAGATTTCAAAATGCAGAAATGGTGTAACCATCACTTTAATATTATTCAGTAAGTTTATTTTAAACAATTAAAAGCAATTTAGCATCAAACAACATCACAATCTCAGTGATATGCTTAAGTGTCCTCCTGGGCTTCAGCTCATGGCACCAGTTAAACACCGTGAGGACGCTTTCCTGTTTCAGCCTGAGCGATAAAACACTGCAGTCCTCTGCAGCACATCCTCGTGTTTTCTGTGATAGTGTTGTCCTGGTACTGAAGTTTTAAACCCGGCTATTTCCCCGCTAACATGGAAGCGCTGCTGAGCGTGGATGTCTCGACACGCCTGTCTCTTCACGGCTTTGTGCTTCCGTCTCCGTGTATCTGTGTTTGGTTTGGACTCTTCACCCAGTGCAAACACAGATACACAGACTGGAGCGTGAAGCAGCCGTCAAGATCAGTCGAGTCATCAAGCAGATCGCTCGGCTCATCTGTGTTTGTGCTTGGTATACAGCGGCGGGTGAACGGATGACCTTCTCGGCCAATCACAAGCATTTCTGTTGATCATGTGAACACAATGGCAAATCAGCGCTGTTTTTAAGAAAGCCATCAACATTGCCTTAAATGTTAGCGCGAAATTGCCGGTCTTTCTTTTAATTCAGTATCGTGACAAGTCTAATATAGTGAAAGAATCAGTTTATTACCTTGAGTTTGATGAATGGCATCTAAAACGTGTGTTTGGGAAAGAAAACGTTAGCTAACTAGTGCCATTTCCCTTAACTTAGCTGAAAATGAGCTCGGATATCCCTTTTTACATTCACCATTCATTCAGAACAGACCTTCAGGTCACCCGGAAGGCAGAGAAATGATAAATTTGTGTCACTTTATCTTCGCTGATAAGATATATAGCCAGTTACACAACATTCCTAAGTTATTCCCAATTATACTTCCGGGTTTCTTCCCAACGCAGCCTCGATTTCGCTTTTGAAAATGGCGGCCGCGTGAAATCAGTCTATGGGCAGCACATTGAGCACATTTTATAAGTGGTCAGAAACTTGTAAATAACTCGCCCTATATAACGGAGAGGTGTCACATGCATAACCAAGCTTTTTCTTCATAAATGTAAAACTGTAAAATAAAAGTTATATATAATAATATATAAATAATAGTTTGTTCTATAGTCAGTCGACTCTTGTGCTTTAGATTGGCATTATTTCTTTGGATTGTGCAGTTTAATTCTCTGAATTTCTACAAAGTATGTTGTATACTGTAAACTCGCATACTTTTTTGGTCACATCCATAACGCATGTTCATTTCCCTCATTTAAAATCTAAAGAAGTGTTTACAGATTGATATTTTTCTGATCACATAACTATAACATAACCAAAATTAAACATATGTTTTATGTCAAGTAAATGTCAACATTTACTTTCTCTGTGAATTTATTCTTTGAATTTTTACTGCAAATGTCACATCCATAATGCTGGAATTGCTCTAGTACACTAAGAAAAGATTCATTGGATTTATTACATTTTCTTAAGGTAAGTGCCAACAATTTGCATGGGCTGAATTTAAACAAACAAATTAAATATAGTAATGTTCAACTGTTATGTGTTTGTTTAAATTCATCCCGTATACATTGTTGCCATTTACCTTAAGGGGCAGCATGGTGGCTCAGTGGTTAGCACTGTGGCCTCACAGCAAGAAGGTTGCTGGTTCGAGTCCTGGCTGGGCCAGTTGGCATTTCTGTGTGGAGTTTGCATGTTCTCCCAGTGTTGGCGTGAGTTTCCTCCCAACATATGTGCCATACACCTACCGGCCACTTTATTAGGTACACCTTACTAGTACCGGGTCGGACCCTCTTTTGCCTTCAGAACTGCCTTAATCCTTGGTGGCATATATTCAACAAGCTACTGCAAATATTCCTGAGATTGTGCTCCATACTGACATGATAGCATCATAATCGCAGTTGCTGCAGATTTGTCGGCTGCACATCCATGATGCGAATATCCCGTTCCACCACATTCCAAAGCTACTCTATTGGATTGATATCTGGTGACTGTGGAGGCCATTTGAGTACAGTGAACTCATTGTCATGTTCAAGAAACCGGTCTGAGATTTACGCTTTATGACATGGTGTGTTATCCTGCTGGAAGTAGCCATTAAAAGATGGAGACACTGTGCTCATAAAGGGATGGACATGGTCAGCAGCAATACTCAGGTAGGCTGTGTCGTTGATACTATGTTCAATTAGTACTAATGGACCCAAAGTGTGCCAAGAAAATATCCCCCACACCATTACACCACCACCACCAGCCTGAACCGTTGATTCAAGGCAGTATGGATCCATGCTTTTATGTTGTTGATGCCAAATTCTGACCCGACCATCTGAATGTGGCAGCAGAAATGTAGACTCATTAGACCAGGCAACGTTTCTCCAATCTTCTATTGTCTGTGAAAATCCCAGAAATGCTCAGACCAGCCCGTCTGGCACCAACACCCATGCCACGTTCAAAGTCACTTAAATCCCCTTTCTTCCCCATTCTAATGCTCAGTATGAACTGCAGCAGATCGTCTTGACCATTTCTACATGCCTAAATGAATGAATGAAAATGAATGAAATCGAGTTGCTGCCATGTAATTGGCTAATTAGAAATTTACGTTAACAAGCAGTTGGATGGGTGTACCTAATAAAGTGGCCGGTGAGTATCTATCATAAATTAGCCTATATGCATTTATATAGTTTACTATTATAAATTCTATGCAGTTATTTGTATATGAGAGTAATAGTTATATATGATAGAAGTGTCTGGCCATTCTCCTCTGGCATCAACAAGGCATTTGCGGCCACAGAACTGCCACTCTCTGGATAATTTCTTTTTTTAGACCTTTCTCTGTAAACCCTAGAGATGGTTGTATGTGAAAATCCCAGTAGATCAGCAGTTTCTGAAATACTCAGACCAGCCCGTCTGGCACCAACAACCATGCCACGTTCAAAGTCACTTAAATCCCCTTTCTTCCCCATTCTGATGCTCGCTTTGAACTGCAGCAGATCATCTTGACCCTGTCTGCATGCATTGAGTTTCTGGCATGTGATTGACTGATTAGAAATGTGTGTTAACGAGTAGTTGGAAAGGTGTACCTAATAAAGTGGCGATGAGTATATCTGCACACATAATATGTAAATATGTTAAAACAATAGGTTGAATGATGGGCTCTGTGTGCTCAGGCTCTGTGTGGGCCTACTTATTACCTGCCTATTATTTTTGGCTGCTTTGTTGTATTTATAAGATACATTGCATGATCTCTAATCCTATGTAACATCTAAACCCAACTACAACATTAAAAACTATTAATAGGCAGCAAATTAGGAGTTTATTGAAGCAAAAATCCAAGTTGATGGTTTGTTAATAGCGAGAAATGTACCTTAAAATAATAAAGTGTGAGCAAATATGCATTACTCAATGATAAAAAGGTAGCAGGGGGTAGTGATAAAAGTGATTGATTGGGCAGGGTTTGACAGGAATATTCTCTCTTGACAATATGCCCGAAAATGAAGACCAGAAATAATTTTATTTAACGTATTATTAATTTGACTGCTGTGTTTTGTTATTCAGGCAAGTCCGGACCGCGGTGGACCTTCACCCTGTTCTCCAACAGCTCCAGGACCGCAGTATTTCGAAGGTAATTTAAGGTCTGCTGTGTCTCTAATCTCTAATCTCTGATGTGAACAAACGGTTTTAACATCTCAACATTCCTCAGCAGATCCTGTGTTCAGAGTTCATGCACTTCCTTCTCAATAAACCTCTTTATTTCTCTGTGCTTTCAGCTGTTCCTTGCTGTAAATCTGTTTGTGTGTTATTAGTCACTGGAGGGTTGTTTTGATTCTATGATTAAAGTTTTTACTATTGATCATTGTGATTTAAATATTAAATGCATATTTTGATAAAAATTACATTGTTTTCTGAGCTTAGATGCATTTAAACATGTTGTAAGAGACTCCAACACAATATTAGGAGACTTTAAAATACCAGCTGACCTGCTCTTTGATAGTTTTGGTTTGATTACAGGCAAGGATTACAGTCAGGAGCAATGATTACAATCAGGAGCAAACGGTAACAATGGTAGCAAATCCAGAAGAAAGGCTAACAACATCGGACAAACAAACAAAGCTAAGGTCACCAACAGAAAGACGAGCAAGGAAAATGTGTCGTAACTTGACAGATAAACAAGACTCAGCCCTGAAGTGTGTGGAAGTGCTGTTTATAAAGTCCATGTAATCAGTTCATGAGCAGCTCCTAGCCGTGTGTGTGTAATCAATGGAATAGGGAACAGGTGCATGTGAGCGGTGCATGATATGTAGTCCATAATGTGGCGGATTTGTAGATCTCCAGCCAACTGCGTGTTTACCAGCGATCTGCAACCGCTGGATCGCTGGTAATCATAAAAAGTAGCAGGCAAAAGATTCGGAAATGTAATGACACATTTAAAGCGATTCAGAACTGACTCATTTGAGAGAAAATATCTTTTATTATGCACTGTTTGGATGCAGACTGTTTACTTTTAGATTAACTACATTTACAGCTACATTTATTACAGCTAGTTTCACTGTTAATCGAAGAGCAGGTCATGTGGTATTTTAAAGTGTCCTAATATTGTGCTGGAGTCTTCTACAACAGGTTTAAATGCATCTAAGATCTGAAAGCATTGTCATTTTATCAGAATATGCATTCAAAATTAGAATCATTTCGCAATGATTTCAATATGGTTCATTTGAATCAGTTCACAGCTGCAAGCCCCTCCCCCTTCCTTAAGCCAACTGTTCTCTGATTGGTCAGCTGGCCAAGTCTGCTTTGATTGGTCTTTCTGTGTCAGAAAGGAAACAACCATTCAGAGTGTTTGCATGTTGTAAGAGGTGGAGATTATGCAAATTACTTACTTTGATCATAATGTAGATCAGTCTGAGCCAAAAGATTCAAAAATATGACTCATTAAAGTGATTCACAGCCAACTCTTTCTTTTAAGTGACAATATCCTTATTTATTAAGACTTGAAGAATAGCTAAATAACAGCTACATTTATTTCAGCTAGTTTCAGTGTTAAATGTGAAATAAAACTGGATCAAACAGAAACTTTTAAAGAGCAGGTCAAGTGGTATTTAAAGTGTCCTAATATTGTGCTGGAGTCTCCCACAACAGGGTTAAATGCGTCTCTGAAAGCATTGCAGTTTTATCAAAATCTGTGTCTTAATATTAGAATCATTTTGCGATGATTTGGAAAAGATTAATTTTAATCAGTTCAGAGCTTAAGGTCTGTAAGCCCCTCCCCCTTCCATAAACTAACTGTTCTCTGATTGGTCACCTGGCCAAGTCTGTTTTGATTGGTCTTTTGGTGTCACAAAGGAAACTTATTTCAGAGTGTTTGCATGTCATTGGAGGCGGGTTTATGCTAATTAGTTACTTTGATCATGATGAAGATCATTAATAAAAAGCTTTACAGACTGTTTACATTGAAGATTAGCTACATTAATTTCAGCTAGTTTCACCTGTAAATGTGAAATAAAACTGGATCAAATAGAAACTATCTAAGAGCAGGTCATGTGGTGTTATAAAGTGTCCCAATATTGTACTGGAGTCTCCTACAACAGGTTTAAATTCATCTAAGCTCAGAAAACTGACTCGTTTTATCAGAATATGCATTTAATATTAGAATTATTTTGCAATGATTTCAATGTGAATCAGTTCAGAGCTGTAAGCCCCTCCACCTTCCATAAGCCAACTGTTCTCTGATTGGTCAGCTGGCCTAAACTGTTTTGGCGAAAGGAAACTCCTATTTCAGAGTGTTTGTATGTCATGGGAGGCGGGGTTATGCTGATGTAGATCATGATGTAGATCAGGAACAGGCAAAAGATTCAAAAATATAATGAATCGTTAAGGCGATTCAGAGCCGACTCTTTCTTTTGAGTGAAAATATCTTCATTTATTATGCACTGTTTCAATGAAAAACTTTGCAGACTGTTTACATTGTAGACAATTACATTTACATTACAGCTAAATTTACTTCAGCTAGTTTCAGTGTTAAATATAAAAAATAACACTGGATCAAACAGAAACTATTGAAGAGCAGGTCAGCTGCTATTTTAAAGTCTCCTAATATTGTGTTGGAGACCTACAACAGGTTTACATTTACATTTAGTCATTTAGTCGACGCTTTTATCCAAATACTTACAAATGAGGACAAGGAAGCAATTTACACAACTGCATCTAAGCTCAGAAAGCATTGCAGTTTGATCAGAACTTGTGTTTTAATATTAGAATCATTTTGTGAGGATTTCAATATGATTCATTTGAATCAGTTCTGAGCTTAAGGTTTGTAAGCCCCTTCCATAAGCCAAATGTTCTCTAGTTGGTCAGCTGGCCAAGTCTCTTTTGATTGGTCTTTCGATGTCAGAAAGGAAACACCCATTTCAGAGTGTTTGTATATATCGTGGGAGGCGGGTGTATGTAAATGAGTTACTTTGATCTTGATGTAGATCAGTAGCAGGCAAAAGATTAAAAATATAATGACTCGCTAAGGCAATTCAGAACCAAAAAATAAAATCTCTTTATTTTTTTATGCACTGCTAAACTTTGCAGGTTGTTTACATTGAAGGACAACCTAAAACGTTTTTTGGAAACCCATATAACCTGTTGTTTAAAGTTGAATGATTTATTTGATTTATTTATTTTCTAACAGAAATATCACACATAAAATATCATTAACAAAAAAAAAAACATTTTAACATGGTCAATTATTATATTATATTATATTATATTATATTATATTATATTATATTATATTATATTATATTATATTCCCACCCCAATACCACATACATCATTCGTCTATTACTTACATTTTTTTCTTCTTTTACTTATCTCTTCTTTTTACATGAGACATGTTTTATCCTTTTGGCATCTTTAACATATTATATGTTTGATTATATTTGTACATTAGACCCCCCCCAAAAATAGCCATTAATTAAAATGTCATCAGAATACTACTTGAGTGGAAATCAGCAGCTGCACGTAAAGCTTCAATGTGGATGTGTGATCTGATTTTATATTTGAAATTAGAGAAAATTAAGTATTTAATGAAGGGATCTGTCCAAAAATTTTATGAGACATGGCAACCTATGATCACATATTTTGAAAGAAGGAAGACTCTCTGCTTTAACTGATTTATATAAATAAATCTGTGCAAACAGATATCAATATAGTTTAGTTTGATATTTATGTAAAAGACCACTATAAATGTAACAGAATATTGATTTGCATTATCATGTACTGTAGGTAATTATTTATTTGAATTATTTTTAAAGATAATTTTTTTATTATAGTATTATTATTATTTTATTCTTTTTATTTATTTATTAACTACTATAATTAATATTTTCAATTTTGCTATACTTTTATCTATTCCTGTTGTAATTTTATTTTAATTTTATTTGTTTGCTAATTCATTTCGTGTTCAAAATGGGGGGAAAATTACATCCTTAAATGTACAAAATGTTTTACATAATGTTAAAGCTTGAGAAAATAATCACAAATAAATGTTTAAAAAAAAAAGTCATCATACCTTACTCATTTTATCCTTTTTCAATCACCTTCATCATTATATTCCTTTAATAATATTTATTTATACAACTTTTTAAATTGATTAATCACCTGACATTGTTTGAGAGTCTGATCTAGACTGTTCCATAATTTCACACCACAGACACTTGTGTATGCATTTCAGAAGTCATTTATTCCTAGCTTTAAACATAAATTGTGCTGTTTTAAATTTAACCGAATCATTCAATTAAAAACAATACTGGATTTGCATTCTCCAAATACCCCACGTTCTGTCAGTCTAATTACTTTTTTCTGAATTAATAATACAAGTTGTAAATTAGATTTATATGTATTCCCCCAAATTTCAACACAATAACTCGTGTATGGCAACATAAATGTGTTATATAATATATACACACTGATTTATTGTCCAGGATAAATCTCGCTTTATACACTCTTGCTACAGTTTTGTCTAATTTTAATATCACATTATTTATTTGCGCTTTCCAACTAATTTTAATGATCCAATACAACACCAAGAAACTTAATCGCATCTACTCTTATATACTGATGCAAGGAGTGTTTTAAAAGGAGCCTATTTTGCCCCTTTTCAAGATATGAACTAAGATTCTGATGTCCCTGGAGCAGGGGTGCTCAACCCTGTTCCTGGAGATCTACCTTCCTGCAGAGTTTAGCTCCAACCCTGATCAAACACAACTAAACCAATTTAATTTGATCTGAAGGAGCACATGGTGATTAAAGACAGGTGTGTGTTTGATCAAGGTTGCAGGTGAGCTCTGCAGGAAGGTAGATCTCCAGGAACAGGGATGAGCACCCCTGCCATAGAGTGTATGTGAAACTCTCTAAAACTTTGATCCTAATTGTGCTATTTTGGTGACTGTCGCTTTAAATTCAAATTAAATTGTGCTCTCAGCCCTATTGTGCAAAAGGGGTGGAGCTAAAAATGTATCCGTTATAATAGCAGCAGATTCAAAAGGCTGCTTCCAATTAAATGTTGTTTATGCTAATAAGAGATGACCAATAGTGGGCGGGGCTTTCCCCCTCTGATGACACATACATAGGGAGAATGCCAATCAAAGTGTTTCTGAATTTCATCAAGTCTGATTATAACAAATACAATTAATACATTTTTACCATTAGAGGCTGGAGATATTCACACAATGATGACAAATCCAGGTTAAAACGGGGTGACTTTAATGAATACACACAAGCTTTTCTTTGTTCTTCATGTTCTTGATCAAGTGTAAATCTGATGGTTGCTTTGTCAGGTTCGTATCTGAGCGAGGGCAGTGCCGTGAATCCTGATTATTACTTCACCACGGTCAGCTCCAGTTTCTCCATGTCTCCTCTGTTCAGCGGAGCCAGCGGACCAGAAATAAACGTCCCGCTGGAGCTGCTGAGACGCCTCTTACAGATGGTACACAATTATTACAGATAATAACAATGCAGAAGGCTTTTAATAATCTGTGCTTCTCAGAAGATTTATGTGATTTTTAAATAATAAAAAATAGCACAATCCCATCCGGCAAGTCCAAAAGCACTGACTGTGCGATTTAAGCCTATTATAATACAATCAGAATCAGCTTACAGTATATACAGTTGAGGTCAGAATTATTCACCATCCTGCAATTTTTTTGTTTTACTTCAAATATTTTCCAAATATTTTCACAGTATTTCCAATAATATTGCTTTCTTCTGCGAGAGTCTTATTTGTTTTATTTCAGCTGGAGTTTTTAATTGTTTTAAATCAATTTTAAGGTCAATATTATTCACCCCTTAAGGAATATATATATATATATATATATATAGATTTGTCTACAGAACAAACCACTGTTATACAGTGACTTGCCTTATCAACCTAAATAATCCAGTTAAGCCTTCAAACGTCACTATAAGCTAAATACTAGTGTCTGGTCAAATATTATGTGCTGTCATGGGTTATTAAAACTATTATGTTTAGAAATGTCTTAAAAAAATCTCTCTGTTACACAAAAATTGGGGAAAGAAATGTAGAGGGTGGCTAATAATTTAGGAGGGAAAGGAAATATTACGGTTACAATATTACTTTCAATATGATAGGGCAAAGACTAGATTCCAAATAATGCCAATATGGAGTCAAAATTTAAAGAAATTTAACTTGTTCGTGTTTTTATATTTCCCAAAAGATTTTTAACAGAGCAAGGAAATTTTCACAGTGTGTCTGATAATATTTTCTCTTCTATAGAAAGTCTTGCTCGTTTTTATTTTGCTAGAATAAAAGCAGTTTTAAATTTTTTAAACACCATTTTGAGGTTAATATTATTAGCCTCTTAAGCTAGATTTTTTTTTTTTTGATAGTCTACAGAACAAACCATCATTATACAATAACTTGCCTAATTACCCTAACCTGCCTAGTTCACCTAATTAACCTAGTTAAGCCTTTAAATGTCACTTTAAGCTGTATAGAAGTGTCTTGAAGAATATCTTGTCTAATATTATTTACTGTTATCATGACAAAGATAAAATAAATCAGATATTAGAAATGAGTTATTAAAACTATTATGTTTAGAAATGGTGGAAAAAATTGGGGAAAAAAATAAACGGGGGGGTATATATTGTATGTATATATTTAAAAAAAAAAAGTTTAGTTTTTTTTCACCTTTAATTTGGATAGGATAGTGAAGGTAACAGACAGGAAAGTATTGGGAGCAGAGAGAGGGGAAGGGTCGGCAAAGGACCTCGAGCCGGGAATTGAATTTGGGTCACCATGAGCGCCATGATGCTATATGCCGGCGCACTTAACCACTAGGCCAGGGCTGCTCAACCCTGTTCCTGAAGATCAAGGCTGCGTCCGAAACTGCATACTTCCATATATATAGTACGCTAAAATCAGTATGCGAGCCGAGTAGCATGTCCGAATTCATAGAATTCGAAAATCAGGCGAGAAGTACCTGGATGACTTACTACTTCCGGCGAGATTCTGAAGTGCGCATCCCATGCACGCTGCACTATGAAAGTGAGGCGACGCAACTGACGCAGGTAGGTCACATGACCATGACAAAATGGCAGATGTAGTACGTCCGAATTCCATTCATACTTTTCAAATTCATACTGTATAGAACGTACTTTTCTAACAGCCGAGCAGTACGTTTAAATTCAAAAGCAGTACCTACTGAGTAGTAGGCGGTTTCGGACGCAGCCCTACCTTCCTGCAAAGCTCAGCTCCCACCCTGATCAAACACACCTGAACCAATTAATTAGGACCTGAACAGCTCTTGATAATTACAGGCAGGTGTGTTTGAAATGGGTAGCAACTGAAATCTGCAGGAAGGTCGATCTCCAGGAACAGGGTTGAGCCCCCCTGCACTAGGCTATCGACGTCGGGGCATTTAACCCCTAAGTTATTACCATTGATGCACTTAACCACTAGGCTATTGGTGCCGGGATATGTTTTTTAATATTAATATATACTAATAATATCAATGATTGATCGAGGACTTCTGTAATGCTGCTTAGATTTTTATATACTAATATTATACATATTATATACGTATAATAGTTCCCAAATGATGTTTAACAGATTCAGGAAATGTTCACAGTATGTCTGATAATATTTTTTCTTCTGGAGAAAGTCTTATTTGTTTTATTTTAGCTAGAATAAAAGCAGCTTTTAATTATTTTAAACCCATTTTAAGGTCATAATTATTAGACCCTTTAAGCAATATTAGTTTAGGATTGTATACAGAACAAACCACTGTTATACAATGACTTGCCTAATTACCATAACTTTACCCTAATTAACCTAGTTAAGCCTTTAAATGTCACTTTAAGCTGTATAGAAGTGTCTTGAAGAATATCTAGTCTAATATTATTTACTGTCATCATGACAGATAAAATAAATCAGATATTAGAAATGAGTTATTAAAACTATTATGTTTAGAAATGTGTTGGAAATTCCCAGAGATGGGTTGCGGCTGGAAGGGCATCCGCTGCGTAAAAACTTGCTGGATAAGCTGGCGGTTCATTCCGCTGTGGCAACCCCAGATTGATAAAGGGACTAAGCCGACAAGAAAATGAATAAATGTGTTGGAAAAATCTTTGTTAAAGTGTAATTGGGGGAAAAATACAGGGCTCTAGTAATGCAGGAGGGTTAATAATTCTGACTGTATTTATTAATCTATATTATATAAAACACGACAGAAATAACATGTGGTTTGTCTTGTTGGTGCAGGTGAAGCAGTTTGTGTCAGATTCATTCCTCAAGTCTCTGGATGCTGTAGTGACTGAGGTTACTGAGGTAAACTCACATCTTTCTTCATACCTGCAGGATCTGCATGCATGCATTGCTATTTATTTGTCACAAAGCAGACAGTGAAGCCTGCTGGCGTTTTCTGCTCTTGCTTATTCTTTTATTTACATTTAAGGCGAATGCAGGCGTGGATCTGTTCTACAAAGGCTTCAGCGACCCGCTGTACGTCAGCATGTTCAAGATGCTCAGAGACACGCTTTATTACATGAAAGGTGACTAAACTCTGCTGTTTGCACTCATTTGTTAAATACTCATAAGATGATATTATTAGCCCCCCCTGTGTATTATTCCCCAATTTCTTTATAATGGAGAGAAGATTTTTCTTTGTTTATTGTCTCCTCTCAGACGTGCATGCGGGTTTCGTGAAGGAGGTGCATGACTTTGTGCTGGAGCAGTTCAGCAGCAGTCAGTCGGAGCTCCAGCGGGTCCTGCATGAGGAGCGTCTGCCAGGTGAAGCCAGTCCTCTGAAGCTCCGCTGCCATGCAAATGCAGCCTGTGTGGACCTGATGGTGTGGGCCGTCAAAGATGAGCAAGGTCTGTCTGTTACTGACACTCAGCCATTTGCAATCATCAATTGTTTCTAAGGGCTGGGACACAACAAGATGGTCGGCCGTTGGGCTTTGTTGGTGAACATGGGTCCGGCTAGTGTGTTTGGTGTGTTCCACACGTCCGGTAAACATTGAAGTTCATTTGCTTGAGGTGGGCGGATTAATCCTTAAGTACTGATATTTACGATACTGGTAATATGGCGATGTGTGGAACACACCAAACACACTAGACAGACACACACTGTCCGGCAAACCGCAACAGCCGACCTTAAGCATTGTGTGTCTCGACCCTTAGACAGATTAGCAAGCAGTTCTCTGAGATCAGGGCTTTTCAAACGAACGTATTGACAACACAAAAAAATGCTGCAGTCTTAGAACCATATACACTCTCTGGCCACTGTATTAGGTACACCTGTACAACTGCTCGTTAACGCAAATTTCTAATCAGCCAATCACATGGCAGCAGCTCACTGCATTTAGGCATGTAGACATGGTCAAGAGGATCTGCTGCAGTTCAAAGTAAGCATCAGAATGGAGAAGAAAGGGGATTTAAGTGACTATACGTGGCATGGTTGATGGTGCCAGACGGGCTGGTCTGAGTATTTCAGAAACTGCTGATCTACTGGGATTTTCACACACAACCATCTCTAGGGTTTACAGACAATGGTCAGAAGAAGAGGAAATATCCAGTGAGCGGCAGTTCTGTGGGCGCAAATGCCTTGTTGATGCCAGAGGTCAGAGGAGAATGGCCAGACTGGTTCCAGCTGATAGAAACGCAACAGTAACTCAAATAAGCACTCGTTACAACCAAGATCTGCAGAAGAGCATCTCTGAACACACAACACGTCCAACCTTGAGGCGGATGGGCTACAGCAGCAGAAGAGCACACCGGGTGCCGCTCCTGTCAGCTAAGAACAGGAAACTGAGGCTACAATTCACACAGACTCACCTAAACTGGACAATAGAAGATTGGAGAAACGTTGCCTGCTCTGATGAGTCTCCATTTATGCTGACACATTCGGATGCTCGGGACAGAATTTGGTAGCAATTTCAACAAGATGAAAGCATGGCTCCATCCTGCCTTGTATCAGCGGTTCAGGCTGGTGGTGGTGTAATGGTGTGGGGGAGATTTTCTTGACACACTTTGGGTCCATTAGTAGCAATTAAGCATCATGTCAACACCACAGCCTACCTGAGTATTGTTGCTGACCATGTCCATCCCTTTATGAGCACAGTGTCTCCATCTTCTGATGGCTACTTCCAGCAGGATAACACAGCATGTCATAAAGCGTGAATCATCTCAGACTGGTTTCTTGAACATGACAATGAGTTCACTGTACTCAAATGGCCTCCACAGTCACCAGAGCTCAATCCAATAGAGCACCTTTGGGATGTGGTGGAGATTGGCATCATGGATGTGCAGCCGACAAATCTGCAGCAACAGCGTGATGCTATCATGTCAATATGGAGCAAAATCTCTGAGGAATATGTTCAGTACCTTGTTGAATCTGTACCACAAAGGATTAAGGCAAAAGGGGGTCCAACCCGGTACTAGTAAGGTGTACCTAATAAAGTGGCCTGTGAGTGTATGTTTTATAGTCATTTATTTACTTTAATACTAACCTTTCAAGACCACCACTCTTGAGATCATCCTCCATGTTCAGTGATGGCCTGTCTTTTTCTTTTATGCACACGAGTGCTGTAAAGGTGTCAGGAAGTTTAACTTTACAGTCAAACCATAAATCATTAAGACCCTTTCAAAATTTAAAGTTTATTTGCTATTTTTTCCTATTTTATAGGAGCGGAGAATTTGTGCACTAAACTCTCGGAGAAACTTCAGTCTAAAACATCCAGTAAAGTGATCATCGCCCACATGCCTCTGCTCATCTGCTGCTTACAGGTGAACCTGCAGGGAAACGTGTGTGTGTGTGTGTGTGTGTGTGTGTGTGTGTGTGTGTGTGTGTGTGTGTGTGTGTGTGTGTGTGTGTGTGTGTGTGTGTGTGTGTGTGTGTGTGGTCCTGGTATTCATGAAGTCAGGGGAGCAAGATGTCCCCACAAGTATAGCAATGCCAGTTATTTTGAACTCGTGGGGACATTTTTTGGTCCCATAGAAGAAAGTGGCTCCTAAATTACAAAGAATGAAGTATTTTGAAAATGTGTTTTAGGGTCTGGGTCGTCTGTGTGAGCGTTTCCCCGTCATCGCTCACTCGGCTAGTTTGTCTCTGAAGGATTTTCTGGTGGTTCCGTCAGCGGTGCTCATTAAACTCTACAAGTACCACAGTCAGTGCAGCTCAGGTCAGTTCAGCATGTTTTAGCATCTTTATTACATTCAACTAAGCGTAATATTTTAACATAAAATATAATATATGTTCTGATAAAGATCTTGAATGACTTATGAAAAATTTATATTTGCTCATTTGTAAGTCGCTTTGGATAATAGCGTGTGCTAAATGACTAAATGTAAATATAATAAGTTAAAGTATTTATGCTATATAATCTACCATTAGTCTCTATACCACTTTATGGACTCAGTTATTCCTGCTGATATCTTCATAACTTACTTTTAGGAGCCGGTGGGATCAAAATCAACGTGACCAATGAACACTCTCAGTCCTCACTCAACCTCCTGTCCAGTAGGAAAGACCAGCCGTCCATGTATGAGCAGCTCCGAGACATTTCCATCGACAACATCTGCAGGTAAACACACTTTTACACTGCTTTATCAAGCCCTCAGCCATATTTTCTTGCACAGAAGTCAAATGCCATGTTGTATAAAAGCCAAAAATGAAAAGCTTTTAGTAATAAAGTGTACTTGTCTCTACTTTAGTGTGTTTGCAAAATGAAAATGCACTTTTACTAGGAATGTAACGGTATCAAAATTTCACGATACGGTAATACCTCGGTATGAATGGCACGGTACGGTATTTATTGAATCATTTAAAGGAAAAACAAAACTGTTGAAGAGACTCAAAAAAGTGCTAGAATGTTCAGGTCACCTCAACACTGAACAGATCAATGACATACAAATTATCTATCTGTAAACTTTCAAACAGGAACTTAAATTATTCAATTTTAACATAACAAAAAATATTAAACCATGTAAAAACCTTTAAACCTTTTTCTTTACCGCTACTAGCAGCACCCTTCATTTCTGCATTACTGGATCTGTAGTGACAACAGACCGCAAAGGAGGATGGCCACGCCTGGGCTGATGAAATTTGTAGTTTCCGCTACCTCCCGTTCACTTCAATCGCCTGAGCAAACTTTTCACCAAAAGACCTATGATTTTATTGAGTCACAACCACGGTAATATTGAAAGGAATTGCTATGTATGACGGTATTTACAATATTGTTACATCCCTAACTTTGTAAGTATGTGAATTGGATTGCTAAACTTAGGGTTGGGCGACACAGTGGCGCAGTAGGTAGTGCTGTCACCTCACAGCAAGAAGGTCGCTGGGTTCCTGGTTCGATCCTCGGCTCAGTTGAGGGGGGCGGATTAATCCTTAAGTACTGATATTTACGATACTGGTAATATGGTTTCTGTGTGGAGTTTGCATGTTCTCCCTGCATTCACGTGGGTTTTCTCCGGGTGCTCTGGTTTCCCCCCCAGTCCAAAGACATACGGTGCAGGTGAGTTGGCTAGGCTAAATTGTCCGTAGTGTATGAGTGTGTGTGTGAATGTGTGTGTGGATGTTTCCCAGAGATGGGTTGCGGCTGGAAGAGCATCCGCTGCGTAAAAATGTGTAAGATAAATGTGCTGGATAAGTTGGCGGTTCATTCCGCTGTGGCGACCCCGGATTAATAAAGGGACTAAGCTGGCAAGTAAAAATGAATGAATGAATGAACTTAGGGTTCATATTGTATAAGCAGTTGGGTTGGGCCGATAGGCGATCCCATCGCCGATGGCCAATAGACAACAAGATGCTGAGCCCCGCCCCCGATACACACTCGGGCCCCGTTTACACGAACACGTCTTATTATTAAAATGGCATTTTATAATGAAAATGATCCACATCCACACCGTGCATTTCTGAACAGCCCTCCGTCCTCTGAAAACGCACATCACGTGACCACATACACACACAAGTGGTGCTCACTTCACTGTCACAGCCACACGCTTCTCTCTCAGAGCTCCATGAGACAGAGGAGCAGTGCACGTCTTTATCAAGGATGTACCGCTGGATCGCGTCTCAGTTGTTAAACGTGATATTCAGACATCCCAAGTGTCCCGGAAGTTTCGGGAGTCTCTGTGCATTTGCAGGACTCATAATGCCCGCAAACAAGTGATAATCTTATGGAAATTGCACGTCTCCCTCCCGGTCCTCAAATAAGTCACGCACCCTTCTCACCCCCGGATCCCTCCTCGCTCTTCAGACACGTCACGCGCAGTCTATCATGTCACATTGGTCGACATCGCTCAACCCTAATAAGCTGATTCAGAAATCACGTTGCATTCACTCGAATATGAGTGCATGTAAACATTCTTCTGTGATTGTTTGTTTGTTTGTGCGTGTGTGTGTGTGTGTGTGCGCGTGTGTGTGGTCTGCAGATGTCTGAAAGCTGGTCTCACTATGGATCCTGTTATCGTGGAGGCGTTCTTAGCCAGCCTGTCAAATCGGCTCTACATCTCACAGGAGAACGACAAGTGAGGACGCAAACAATGTCTGTCTGTCTTTGACTATCCGTCTGTCTGTCACTATCCGTCTGTCTGTCTGTCCAATCATCTGTCTAGCCCTCTGTTTCTGTGTTTCTCTCTATCTGTGTTTCTGTCTGTCTGTTCGCTATCTATCTGTCTATTCGTCTGTTTGACTATGTCATCTGTCTGTCCAAACATCTGTCTAGCCCTCTGTTTCTGTCTGTCAATTTGTCTGTCTGTCTGTTAATTCATCTGTCAATTTGTCTGTCTGTTTGTCTGTCTGTCTGTCTGTCTGTCTGTCTGTCTGTCTGTCTGTTTGTCTATCGGTTAATTCATCTGTCTGTCTGTCTGTCAGTCTGTTTGTCTGTCTGTCTGTCTGTCTGTTAATTCATCTGTCAGTTTGTCTGTCTAGCCTTTTATCTCTGTGTTTCTGTCTACCTGTTTGTCCAATCGTCTGTCTAGCCATCTGTCTCTGTGTTTTTGTCTGTCTGTCTGTTCATCTGTCTGTTTATTCATCTAATCGTCTGTCTCCGTGTTTCTGTCTGTCTGTCCGTCTAGCCGTCTAGCCATCTGTCTAGTCGTCTGTCTGTCCATCTGTTTATTCATCTGTCTAGAGGTCTGTCTATGTGTTTCTGTTTGTCTGTCCGTCCAATCGTTTGTCTGTCCAACTGTTTGTCTGTCTGTCTGTCTGTCTGTCTGTCTGTCTGTTAATTCATCTGTCAGTTTGTCTGTCTAGCCTTCTATCTCTGTGTTTCTGTCCACCTGTCTGTCTAATCGTCTGTCTAGCCATCTGTCTCTGTGCTTTTGTCTGTCTGTCTGTTCATCTGTCTGTTTATTCATCTAATCGTCTGTCTCCATGTTTCTGTCTGTCTGTCCGTCTAGCCGTCTAGCCATCTGTCTAGTCGTCTGTCTGTCCATCTGTCTATTCATCTGTCTAGAGGTCTGTCTATGTGTTTCTGTTTGTCTGTCCGTCCATTAGTTTGTCTGTCCATCTGTTTGTCTGTCTGTCTGTTTATCAGTCTCTCTTTCCTTTTGCTTGTCTATCCGTCTGTTCATCAGTCTGTCTTTCCTTCTGCTTGTCTGTCCGTCTGTTGTCCTTTTATTTGTCTGTCTGTCTGTACATCCGTCCATTTGTCTGTCCATTTGTTTGTCTGCTTGTCTGTATTTTAATCAGTCTGTCTTTCCTTCTGTTTGTCTGTCTGTCCATACGTCCATCTTTTTGTTTGTCCATCTGTTTGTCTGTTTGTCTGTCTGTTTATCAGTCTGTCTTTCCTTCTGTTTGTCTGTCTATCCATCTGTTTGTTTGTCTGTCTGTCTATCTGTCCATACGTCCATCCTTTTGTTTGTCCATCTGTTTGTCTGCTGTCCTTCTATTTGTCTGTCTTTCTGTCTGTCTGTATGTCCATCCGTTTGCCTGTCCATCTGTTTGTCTGTCTGTCTGCTGTCCTTCTATTTGTCTGTCTTTCTGTCTGTCTGTATGTCCATTCGTTTGTCTGTCCATCTGTTTGTCTGTTCTTCCATTTGTCTGTCCATTTGTCTATCTGTCCATCCATCCATCCATCCATCTGTCTCTCTGACCGCACTGTTTTGTGTGTGTTTTCAGAGAGGCCCATCTGATCCCCGATCACACCATCCGCGCTCTGGGACACATCGCTGTGGCCATGCGGGACAGTCCTAAAGTGATGGAGCCCATCCTGCAGATCCTGCAGCAGAAGTTCTGCCAGCCGCCCTCCCCGCTAGACGTGCTGATTATAGACCAGCTGGGCTGCATGATTATCACAGGCAATGTAAGGCTCTGACACACTAAATAATTACAGCTGTTCACTGCGCAAAGCTGCAGCATCTATTTTCAGTGGATTTAGTCTAGGGGAAAATCTAACATTGCAAAATTTAGTTATTCTGCGAATTTATATTGCGATATGAACACAATTTCACCACATGACTTGAAAATCTCTATTTGGAAAGAATTGATCAGTTTAAGATTGCTTGGGAAGATTCTGTATGTGAGTGCATCTATAGAAAATATAATAAACAATTTATTGTACAAGCATAGATGAAGCAAGCAATGAAGAAATATATACAAGTGAAATAAACAGCGTTTTCTTGTTTTTTCCGAGGAGTCTAACAGTATTCAGGTATACAGTAATGCAAAACAATACTGCTTAGCTTTCATTGTATAAATAATTCCATAAAATGAACTGTTATTATGAAAATTAAACATAACATAATGTTACAAATAGTATGAATGCTTTTTAAATCCTGCGATGATGTTGCAAATGATCACTTTGCAATATCGATGCTGAAACCGTACAGTATATTGTGCATCCCTAAGTCTTGTCTCAGGTTTTCATTTAATGGAAGCAATGGAAAATAAATGTACCTATTTGTCTCAAAATTCTGATTTTATTTTTCATTTTGCATCTTGCAAGTTTACATCTTGGTTTACATGTAAGATATGACTTTAAATCTCATAATGAGTTTACATCTCTCCAGTCTTATGGAGTTGCAAAAAAGTCAGAATTGTGGGAATCTGCAAACTTGCAATTGTAAGAAATAAAGTACTAATTCTGACTTTCAGATGTAAAACTTCAGACTTGTGATGCTGTGTTCACACCAGACGCGGAACGCGCGGATAAATCGCGCTATTCGCGTGTAAATAGCCGCGTGAACATTTGAGGGTACTCGCTTCATTCGCGTGTCAAATTCACTTCAGAACAGACGCGGATTCGCGTGATGGGCAGGGCTTCTGTCTGGCCCGTGACTCTAGCTTCATAGCTAAAGGTCTAACATGGATTTTATGAAGAAAATAACAGTGTTTATGTGCTTTATGAAGGATGATAAACAGCGTCGATACGTTTAGAGCCGTGTCTGAGTCCACTACATGCTTTCAGAGGTGCATCCAGCTCTTTAAGCTCATAGACTCCTCCAGAAACTGAACCTGGATGACGGAGGTTTTCAGCGGTGCTTCTGACTGAGCCCAGCCCAGTTTGATGAACTTCTTGTCGGTTTCTGCTGGGGGATTTCCCCTGGGACACCGACAACAAGCGATACGTCACAATCACGCCCCCACAAGAGCAAGCTTCTGATTGGTTAACGCGGCGCGAATGTCGGCTGAAGTTCAGATTTTTGAACTCAAGTGATTCGCGTGAAACGCGTATTAATCGCGTCAAACAAGCAAAACGCTCAATTTGCGCCACGCCATTCGCGAATATCACGCCATTCGCACCGCGCCATTCGCGCATTTCGCGTCATTCGCGCTGCGCCATTCGCGTGTATCGCGCCACAGAATGTCTATTCGCGCGTTTGCATTGACTTAAAATGTAAATCACTCGCGCTTGACGCACGTTCCGCGTCTGGTCTGAATGCAGCATGAGGGGTACATACAGAACTGAAGATGTAAACAGAATTGTGAGATTGACAACTGTGACTATTTCATCCACTTTTTCTACAAGTATAGCTGAATTGCAATAAATATTATCTGAACTGTGAGATAGCCTATAAAGTTGCAGTGTGTTGAAGCAAAGTTGCAATTCTGATTTCAGACCTGCCAATGTGCAAGGTGCAAATTCAGGACTGAAGATGTAAACTCCAGAACTTTACAGGCTCATTCTGAAAACATAGCGCTATATACATTTCTGGAAGACGTGAATTATGTAGCCAGAAGTACGTATGGCTGCATTTGGTCTTTAAAATGAACGCTAGTGGGTAGTATGACGCTTTTCCTTACCTCCGTATGGACGGCTCTTCCACGGTTACCAGTTTGTCTAGTGGCTCGCTGCATACGTTGGTGGACTTGTAACGCGGAGCGAAGTTGACCGTGATGACGGGGTTTGAGTTCGGTGAAGAAACGTTCCAGTAAGACAAAAACAGGAGCCAAAAAATGTAATTAAAAAAGTAAATAACAGGGTGAGAATGTGGTAAAATCTAAAAACCTGGTAAATATGAGGCTTTTTCTGGATCGCTTTTTAAAACTGTTTGTTGTGTTTAGGGAAGTCAGGTCTATTTGTGCTTTTGAAAACACTATCGGTTGGTTTTGGTAAGGAGAAGGGTCGGTTGTCAGTCAGTCAGTTGACAGCGCACTCTGATTCATTTACATGAGAACAGCAGGCACTAATGGCACTTATGAGAAAATGTGATATCTGAAAAAGCGTACACAGCGGCCTCTAGTGGATTCGTAAAAACAAAAACGGCAAAATCGTACCTCCTGGGACGTATTTGGTGCTCTCCAGAAATGTATACAGGGGTACATTTTCAGAATGAGCCTGGCTTGGGAAAAGTTGCAGTTTTGGAACACAAAGCTTTTTTTGAAATAGCAAGATGTGAACTAAGAATTGAGAGAGAAGTCTATACCTTTATAACCTCTAGAAAGTACATTTGCAACTGCAAGAAAATGTTGCAATTATGAAAAAAGGCTGAATTGCCTGAGCATATAAACCCACAATTGCTATCCAGTGCTCAGCATAAACGAGTACACCCCATTGTGAAAATGAACAGTTTTATCCATTTCTCAGTGATTATCGGTCATATATTTTGGTGCCTTTAAACAAAACACATTTGTTGAACAGATATATTCATTAAAATAATATTTTAATCACAGAAATAGAAAGATAAGACATTTAAATTCTTGAAAAAAATACAAACTACAAAATTTTATGAATGTTTTTGTTTCTGTTTTGCTTGGTTTAAAAAATAAATAAGAAAGAATATTTTTCCCTAACATATTAATTTAAGTGTACTCATTTTGCAGTGTTATTATTGCAGCGTTATGCCACAGCCATGTCACCCTGCAGCCCAAGACCGGTTACTCACCGAAGCTAAGCAGGGCTGAGCCTGGTCAGTAGCTGGATGGGAGACCACTAGGGAACACTATGTTGCTGTTGGAAGTGGTGTTAGTGAGGCCAGCAGGGGGCGCTCAACCTGCGGTCTGCGTGAGTCCTAATACCCCAGTAAAAGTGAAGGGGACACTACACTGTCAGTGGGCGCCGTCTTTCGGATGAGACGTTAAACCGAGGTCCTGACTCTCTGGGGTCATTAAAAATCCCATGGCACTTCTCGTGAAAGAGCAGGGGTGTAACCCCGGTGTCCTGGCCAATGTCCCTCTATCGGCCCATACGATCATGGCATCCCAATCATCCCCTTCCACCGAATTGGCTCTATCACTGTCTCTCCACTCCACCAATAGCTGGTGTGTGGTGAGCGCACTGGCGCCGTTGTCCTGTGGCTGCCGTCGCATCATCCAAGTGGTGCTGCACACTGGTGGTCATTTTGTTAGATTAGGTCCAGATTTGGTCAGTACTGACTAATCTAATGTATATGCGCAAATATAATATTGTAAAGCTTCCTATAGAAATACTCATTTAAGTAAGAGATTTGTGAGGGTGTATATTTGCTGAGCACTGTACATAAAATTGTAATTCTGGCTTTTTCTTCAGAAATTCAGATGTTACCTTTTTTTCAAACTCATGCACAGAATAACGATTTCATGGATCAGGTGTGATGGAAACTGTACTTTATTTGCAAGTTATTACGCAATTTTCACATTTTTGTGTAGGGATGCACCGAATATTCGGCAACCGAAATTATTCGGCCGAAAATAGAAAAAAAAAGCCATTTCGGTGTTCGGCCGAATAAGTAAAAAGGCCGAATAAATTTTGCCGAACAATGACGCTTTTAATGACGCGATCAAATAACCCGCGTAGAGTGAGAGGCGCGCGCTTTATGCAGCAAACATGTCAGCAGTGTGGAAGCGCTTTAAAGTGTAATTGAAAGAGGCAGAAACGGCCGTTTGCAGACACTGTTCTGCTGAATTGTCCAGAGAAACGTTCTCTGTCTTCTCGCCCCCTTTGAGCAGATAACAAGAGAGATAAGCTCATCTGTGGCATCATACATTTACTTGCAGCACTAAAGCGTTTTTTAAACAAAGAGGCTGACACAGACCACGGGGTGAAAACAGCTAAAAGTGCGCTCTTAGAAGCTGTCAGGGCACGATTTAGTCAGGCGGACTCAGAACACCTGTACTTCATCGCGACTGTGCATGATCCGCGATATACAAGATCATTACTTGGATATGGGAAAAAAGCTGCGCACACGAGAAATGATCCAGGCCGAGTTGGACTTGGGAAAGCCGCTAGGTATTGGAGACGGTCAGGTGATGCACAGCGCAGGAGATGAAAACAGCGCAGAGAGTAAACGGGCTCGTACTACAGATGAGCCGCGCACCGACAGCCGACAGCGAGAGACTGTTTAGTGCTGCATCTCATGTCATCGATGAGAAGAGGAACCGACTTTCATGCGAGACAGCAGAGAAGCTACTTTTTATAAAGAAGAACCTGCCACTTTTCCTGAAGAAGTAGGCTAAGTAGGCTTATGTCTTGGACAGTTATTCATTTGTTGTCATCCACATTTTTTGCACCATTCAATGCACATTTGTTGTTGTAGACATAGTTACATTCTTTCAGCAGTCAGTTATAGGCCTAACATAGGCTATTCAAGAAGGGGGGCTTCAAAGATGGCCAAATAAAAATATTTTTTTATTTTACTAATTTATTTATTTTAAGTTATATTGTGCTTTGTTTGTATATTATCTGCTGGAATGTTAAAAAAAATGTTCAGTGTTATTTTTGAAATTGTATTTTTGTTATTTGATTTATTTCTCTTAAAAGCAACACAAAATAGTAAAAAGATAGTTTTTACTGTTTAATTATTGTAATGGTGAAAAAATTGGCAAACTAAATGAAAAAAAAAGCAAAACACCGCATTCGGTATTTGGCCTTCGGCCAAGCAATTCATTATTATTCGGCTTCGGCCAAGAATTTCATTTCGGTGCATCCCTATTTTTGTGCTATTTTGAATGTAAAAATCTTGCTAGCGTGTGGTTTGTGTTTTTCCTCCAGCAATACATCTATCAGGAGGTGTGGAACCTGTTCCAGCAGATCAGTGTTAAAGCCAGTAATGTGGTTTATTCTGCTACTAAAGACTACAAAGACCACGGCTACAGGTGCGCGACCTCATCTGTCAATCATTCATTCAGTTCTTAGAGAGACTTCAGATTAGGTTTTATGCAATGAAATAATTTTAAATAATAATCATTTTTTATCCCATTACAGATTTATAGATATTTGTAAGACCCTTGAAGCATCATCAATAAAATATCTATATACAGTTGAAGTCAGAATTATTAGCCCCCTTTTGATTTTTTTTCTCTATTTTTAATTATTTTCCAAATTATGTTTGACAGAGCAAGGAAATTTTCACAGTATGTCTGATAATATTTTTTCTTCTGGAGAAAGTCTTATTTGTTTTATTTCGGCTAGAATAAAAGCAGTTTTAAGTTTTTTAAAAGCCATTTTAGGGACAAAATTATTAGCCCCTTTAAGCTTTTTGTTCTTTGATAGTCTTCAGAACAAACCATCGTTATACAATAACTTGCCTAATTACCCTAACCTGCCTAGTTCACCTAGTTAAGCCTTTAAATGTCACTTTAAGCTGTATAGAAGTGTCTTGAAGAATATCTAGTCAGATATTATTTACTGTCATCATGACAAAGAAAAAATAGTCAATTATTAGAAATAAGTTATTAAAACTATTATGTTTAAAAATGTGTTGAAAAAATCTGCTCTCCGTTAAACAGAAATTAGGGGAAAAATAAACAGGGGGCTAATAATTCTGAGTTCAACTGTATTTGTATTTATTTGTGTTTTTAACCATTTAAACACTTATGTTTTGTGTCATTTTGCTCCCAGTAACGTACCTTTAGGTGTCATAAATATTATATAAGAAGTTAATTTCATGTCAAAAAAGCTTTTGTGAAATATATTTAGTTTTTCCCTCTATCTCATACATTTTTCTGCATTATTTTTTTATAAAATAAATTTTTTCATATCTTGGAAATGCACCACGTTTAGAAAAATGCATTTTTCATAAACCTGCCTGCATTTAAGTGGGTATAAAACATGAACGCATGAAGATATAATTCTTTTTCTTGTCGGCTTAGTCCCTTTATTAATCAGGGGTCGCCACAGCGGAATGAACCGCCAACTTATCCAGCATATTTTTTATGTAGCGGATGCCCTTCCAGATGCAACCCAGTACTGGGAAACACCCATACGATCATACACTATGAACAATTTAGTTTATCAATTCCCCTATAGCGCATGTTTGGACTGGGAAACTGGAGCAACCAGAGGAAACCCACGCCAACACGGGGAGAACATGCAAACTCCACATAGAAATGCCAACTGACCCAGCTGAGGCTCGAACCAGTGACCTTCTTGCTGTGAGGTGACAGTGCTACCCACTGCGCCACCATGCCGCCAATGTGAATATATAATAATATGTTTTTTAAATTTGAAAGCTATAAGGTTGGTTCATTAAATAATGGAACAAAATCAATGCCGAATGTATTGAAATAAAAAGCTTGTTGAATAGTACTAACTAAAAAAAAATACAATAAATTAACAACTGCGTGCATTTTCATGACTTTAATTGTCAGGGTTTGTAATTTTAGGTCATTTGCTGTTTATTTAAGCTGTGAATATTTCAATTCAAAACACAATTTCATTCTTCAATTCAATACTTCATATTCAACTTCTAGATTTCACTTCCACAATATTCAGTCCTGTTTAAAAATATGAATTTGAATATTTAAAAAGCAATTTTCAATTCATTATATTTTGGTTAAAAAATTAGCTTCCATAAATTCAGTGGCTCAAATTCGACTGTTAAAATTCAACGTTACATCTGAGAGCTGCAGGAAAAGCAAAAGCAGTGGCTGGAAACTTAAAAGAAAAAAAACGCTGGCAGGGAAAGGGTTAAGTTATGCTATATTTCATCAGCAATGACAGTTTTATATAACTTTGATTCTGTTTGGAAATGGATTTTGAATGCATCACTAAGGTTAAGATCTGCTTTTCAGGCATTGCTCTCTGGCTGTGATAAACGCGCTGGCCAATATCGCAGCTAACCTGCAGGGGGAGCCGCTGGTGGACGAGCTGCTGGTCAACCTGCTGGAGCTGTTCGTTCAGCTGGGTCTGGAGGGGAAAAGAGCCTGTGAACGCGCCAGTGACAAAGGACCAGCCCTCAAGGTCAACCTCTTCCTCTGCTTACACTTACTAGAAGAATATTAGAGGATATTTAGATCCTGAATGCTGATATTTAGTTTGTTTTTCTTCTCTAGGCGTCTAGCAGTGCTGGTAATCTGGGTGTCCTCATCCCTGTTATTGCTGTGGTAAGACACACAGTATCTCACAATTTTATATGCAGTTGAAAAGGTCTTTAAAATGTGCATTTTTTTTAGGGTGCTTTCACACTTGGTTCATTTGCCTGGACTGTACCCAAGTTCGATTGTCTCCCCTTTCCACCTTCTCGATTGGTTTGTGTTCACACTGGCTGTTTCTCAATATGCGTTCTTGTCTGTACTTGCGTTCTTGTGTCCTCGTTAAACGACATCAACCGTCGCCAAAGTACTGTTCCAATTCAAAGTTTACATCTTGCCAAGTACAGATGAAATTCCCGGATGTGTACTTGCTCTGCCCCTTTGGTCAAAGGATGCATTGAGAGGTGACTTGTGTGAACTTGCGAAGCTCAGGTATCCCAGAATGCATTGCAGCGTAACCAGCAAGCACTAATGGCGGAGGAGGAAACCTGCACGGTTTTAAAAATACTCCTTTACTGTGTCACAAAATACAGTTCTAAGAGTTTTTCAGGCGAGAATGTCGTTGTTTTAAACTCGAATCGGCAGTTTATTCACAAAGATAGCGCTTCTTTAACGATGTGGCTCAGCTTATGCGTACTCCGACTCCCAGCCTGCCAGCGGGAGCTCCGTCATCAGCTCCCCCACCAGAGCAGCTTTACTTCGGCCAGGCCATCTCGGACGTACCGCTAGACCTCATCACTCCATTGTAGCTAAAACATGATATTTAATTCATCTTGTGAATATCTAACGGACAGTTTTTTTTGTCTTATAAATCTATTATTTGTTCTCAGGTGTGTTATTTTGGCAGTGTTATTTTGTTACCTTTTATAATTGTCTTTAATTATGTTACCGTGTTGTACGCTGTTTGTCTTTTACCAAATTGTTTGACGTAATCTTTATTTCTTATCGTGTATGTCTTTATTTCTTATTGTGTGTATAATTACTAGTGTAGTTTACTAAATCTTATAATCAAAGACACGTGTCTGTGTATAATAACTCATTTTAATTCACATTTATATGAATATATGTGTACATTTTCTTAAATCAAAAACGTAGATTTATAATATCAATATAATATTAATTAAACCATTTTATTATTAACGTACAGTGAAACTGATGAATCCATGGTGAGGTAAGTGACGTTATAAAGTACACTGCTGTTCCATTTAAAGAAGTACCCGACTTGTGTCCTCGCGTCCTCGAGAGTTCGTTCTTCCAAGTCTGAGCTTGGCAAGTCTGAACTTCCAAGGACGCAAGTCCGAACTTTGTGTACTTGGTATTGAGAAACAGCCACTGTCTTTTTTCCTTCTGAACCCAGCTACGCTTGCGTCATCGAGCTGCTGTTTTGTTTACGGCTGTTGCTAGGTGACGGTCATGAAAGCAATTGGAAAGACGTCCGCTCATCGCGGTCATTCTGCTTTAACTGAAGCTTTAGTTTTGGACATACAGAAAGCGACTCGTGTCCGCGTTCAGATCATCACACAGTGTCTGCAGAAGCTGTTTTTGGAGGATACAAGCAGACATCACTGTGTTTGCCCGGGCTCAGTCCCGCTTGTTACCAAGGTACAATACGTGACACACACGAACGAACGTTATGAAAACAATAGTTTGTTGTACAGTTGGCGGTTTACTTCCGTTATATGGCACGATTGCGCATTCACATCAGAAGTAAACCGTACCAGAGTTCGCATGAACCATACCCCAGACCACCTCTTTCAGGCGGACTCGGGTACGGTTCACAGGGTTGTGCACCCGAGTTCAGAAGACACTTTCACACTAGCTAAATTAACCGTACTATGACGTCAAAAGAACTTGGGTGCGTACCTAAAGTGCCAGTGTGAAAGCACCCTTATTTGATGTTAGACATATTTTTATTCGATGTCTCAACTGACACATGAAGAAAGGGCAGGACATAAAGTAGCTCCTCCCCTTTTAAAAACCAGCCAATAGCGTTTCCCTTTATCACAGCTCTTCTAGTGAGAGTGGTTGAGTTCGAGCGCGTCAAATAAACAGCCAATGATAAGAAGGGGGCGGGGCATGTCAGACACTTATGAGCATTTGATTGGTCAAGAGATTTGATGAGAAGCTGAAGTATGAGGTTAGGTGAAAAAAACTGTTGATTCATTTAGTTAAAAGGGACTAACTGCAGACTTTTAAATCAGTTTTATATCCTCTAAACATGAATTTTATCTTAACACACTAGTTTATAGATATTAATATAACTAATATACTGATTTCATGGCTGCTTTAAATGGATTAATTCACCAAAAAAAGTAAATTCTATAATTTACTCGTTACCTCGAGTTGTTTCAGTTCCTTATGATTTTTATGATGCGCACTAGGGATGCCACAATTGTCAATATAATATTGAACCGTTTGGTACGACATCCAAGGTTCATTACGCGCTTGTGAACTGCGTTTTTTCCGGTTTTACTTTTTAATAATTTATGTGCCTTTTATATCTCTCCGAATTGACTGTGTGTGCCTGTAAGTTTAAAGCTGAGATGAGGAAACTCCTCCCTAAATATTTAATCACTACTATGCTCTAAAGTTAGGGGGCGCTTAACCATCATGCACACTTTAACATGGCAAGCAGCTGTGAAGTGAGGCAACAGTATGAGAAAAAATCGTTCAAATCTGCGGTGTGAGGACATTTCGGTTTTGCCGTTGAGTATAATGCCAGTGAAAGATAAAACTGTGAGCAAACAATGTGTGCAAGCATTGTTTCACACGTATATACTTATAAAAAGGATGCACTTCCAACATGACTGCACATCTACGTGAATTAGCATGTGGCTAATATGCTTATAGTATAAATTAGCATGTTGCTAGTATGATTAGTTTGATTGTTAGTATGTTGCTAGTATAGATTGGTAAGTTGTTAGTATGTACAATGTAAAGTCAATGGCAGTTTTTTACAATGGAAGTCTATGGGACAGTTGCTAAGGTGTCGTAAGTGGTTGCTAGGGTGTGGCTACTAAGTTGAAAGGTCATCAGCGATTGGCATATTGGTAGACTGAGTTAAATGAGCCCAATCTTAAGTCTGCATGACAGTCTGGTGCAAAGTTATGAGGTCACAAAGTGTGGTTCAATGTTAAGTCAATGGGATTTTTCCGAAATTTCCGGGAAAGTTTTGGGGAAAACTGTTGGATCAGTTGGAAAAGATATAGCAGCTTTATTCAGTATAGTGTGGAGGTTTAGAGTTACTTTGGTGTTTGTAGTATGAACGGTCTAGGACAGGGGTCACCAACCTTTATGAAACTGAGAGCTACTTCTTGGGTACCGATTAATGTGGAGGGCTACCAGTTTGATAAACACTTCTCAAATAACAAATTTGCTCAGTTTACTTTTAATTATACTTTATGTTTTTGGTAATAATTAATGATATTCATCCATGTGAAGACACTGATCATGTTAATGATCCTCACAAAAGTTATCAACAATGAATTAACTGGGTCGGAAATACCCTGTATTTAATGTATCAATGTGCAACACTTTATTTTTATATATCTCTATTTATGCAAATATTTACATTTTTAAATAATTACTTCTATATTAGATGAAGCTTACTGGTAAGTGGCGCTATGGTGAGCTATTTTTATGTTTTATTTACCATGTTGGTGACCCCTGGTCTAGGAGAAGACGAGAGAAGAATAATAAGTTTATGTAGTGTAACAGAATGTCGCTTTCTTAAGCCACCATAATAAGAATAAATAAGAATAAAAAAAGTGTATTTTATTTCTGGTAATAATTAATACCCCCTAAATTGCCATAAAACAGTTATTTTACTATAAATACAATGAATACAATAAATATAATGGCTTTATTATTGCACTTCTGAGTGTGCCTCACACAGGTGAGTGGGCTTGACAAACCACCTGTTGTAAACATACTCTTTTGTCTCTCTGACACTTTAACCCACAAGTGCACCAGTTTTCACATTTGTACCAGAAACTTTCTTACAATCACTCCATATCTCTATAAAAAAAGCAATGTGCATTTCTGTGTTTCTCACACAGGTGAGTGGGCTTGACAAACCACCTGTAGAAACACTCTCTCTTTCTCTCTATGTAGAAAACTCTCCCTCCTACTCAAGCACATAATTCTCCGAGCAATAACAGTTTCTTTGTATAAATATCACTTCTTGTGTGTATTGCCTCTTCTTATTATGGCTAATTGACTAAATGTAAATGTAAATAAATACTTATTTACCTTCATCACCACTGATTTGTTGGTCACATTAAAAAAAGCAAAGTTAAAAGTAGCATATTTTTTGGGTTGGTGGCACAGTGGCTCAGTGGTTAGCAAGAAAGTTGCTGGATCGAGTCCCGGCATGGCTAGTTGGCATTTCTACATGCTGTTACAGCCAAAACATAACTTTGTGTGCATATTATAGGCTTTGCATAAAGTGTTGAGCTCCACCCTGCTCTCTCTCTCTCTCTCTCTCTCTCTCTCTCTCTCTCTCTCTCTCTCTCTCTCTCTCTCTCTCTCTCTCTCTCTCTCTCACACACACACACACACACACCCGACTCAGGTTAATTAGCTTCCAGCTGCTAATCGTTGTGATCCTGCTTGAGTCGGAGTGGCTTGGCTTTAAATACTGGCTTCTGAAGCTAGTGAGCTGAGGAGCATTTCTCTTGGTCGTCCGGTCTTTGTGATATTGTTCACTTGTAGTTTTGTTGTGTGGTGATTATTGTTCACAAGTGTTTATTGTAGTTGAAATTTTGAATTTAAATTGAATATTCATTGTTTTGTGTACTTCAAAGTGTGCCTAAAGCGCGAGTGCCTTGTTTTAATTTGTATATCTTTTTTTTTTTTTTTGCCTGTTTATGGTTGAGAGAGGAAGCTCAGGGAAGTTTGTGTTGTTGATTTTCATCTTTGATTTTTGCATTAGGTAAGCTAGTCCTCTGAACTTTTAGTTAGCTGTTTTCTGTTTGTTGTTTTAGGCTTTACTCGCTCAGTTTTGACATAGTTTCTGTTAAATCTCTATATTTGTATTAAATAAATCCTTATGATTGTGTTTTCTAAACTTGTGTTGACTCTACACTCTGGGGCTGAGGATTGAAGTGTGTTCTCCTCGTATTGAATTAGTTCTAATTCAATATTATTTACCAAATTTTGGTCTTCTTTGTTACACCTTTTCAGCAAAAACCCCTAGACTTAATAAGGCCGTAAAAATACACATGCGCTATATGTGAATAAGCTCAATTGACCCTTCGCTAAGCCACGCCCAAAAACCACCATCCACCAATCGTGGCTTAACATGCGCTATATGTGAATTGAATAAACTCAATTGGCCCTAGTGTGTGTGTGTGTGTGTGTGTGTGTGTGTGTGTGTGTGTGTGTGTGTGTGTGTGTGTGTGTGTGTGTGTGTTTCCCAGTAATAAGTTGTGGCTGGAAGGGCATGCGCTGTATAAAACACATGCTGGAATAGTTGGCGGTTCATTCTGCTGTGGCGACCTCTGAAATAAGCCGAAGGAAAATGGCTGAGTGAATGTTCTGGGTCTGCTTCCCGTCTGACATAATATGCAAATGTTAACTGACAGAACAAAATGTTTTGCTATTCACTCCATTTAAATGATTTATGAGCTCTCTGCGGGTTAGCATGCATTTGGAGATCAAAAGGAAATTTGGCATGAGCGTGAAAATAACTAATCAAAGATTCTGCCTACATGAAGCTAGATAAAATCTTGCTTGGTTGAAGGATGTGTTTGGTTGAAGAATGCAAAAGCGCAGCCCTGTTTTGATTCGTAATGTCCAGAAGCCGTAATTAGATCTGATGCGCTGCTGGTTAGACTTTAGCTTTGCTGACAAATATTTACTTGGCTTGCAAAATGTCCTGCCGTGTCATTGATGTACTGGAGTGTTGTTTTTATTCACCCTTTGAACAGATTACTTCAATAAACCAGTCCTGTGATTCACTTTATTTGCAAACAACAGACTCTGCCTCCAGAATACACAGTTGATGAGCTCAAAATGTACAAAACTCTTCTTGCTTGCAACTTATTAAAGAAAACAACCATCCTTTTCACAGCATATCTGTGTTTTGCATACAGAGCTGGGTGGATTACTTAGGAATTGTACTTAGTGAAAGATTACTGATGGCATAAAATGTATATATACATATGTGTTTGTGTGTGTGTGTGTGTGTGTATATATAGATATGTGTACATACAGGTGAAGTCGGAATAATTAGACCCCTTTTGAATTTTTTTCTCTTTTTTTAAATATTTGCTAAATGATGTTGAACAGAGCAAGGAAATTTTCACAGTAATTACTATAATATTTTTTCTTCTGGAGAAAGTCTTACTTGTTTTATTTCGGCTGTATTAAAAGCAGTTTTTTAATTTTTTAAAACCATTTTAAGGTCAAAATTATTAGCCTCTTTAAGCAATTTTTGTGTTCGACCGTCTACAGAACAAACATAATTATACAGTAACTTGCCTAGTTAACCCAACTTTAACCAACTTAACCTTGTTAATTAACCCAGTTAAGCCTTTAAATGTCACTGTAAGCTGAAGAATATCTAGTAAAATATTATTTACTGTCATCATGACAAAGATAAAATAAATCAGTTATTAAAGCTAATATGATTAAAAATGTGTTGAGAAAATCTTCTCTCCGTTAAACATAAATTGGAGGAAAAAATGAACAGGGGGGCAAATAATTATGAATTCAACTGTATTTGTATATTGTAATATATTAAAATTGTATGGTAGTGTATTCAGATTACTTTTGGATTACACTTAGATTACTTTAATGTATAATTTTCTACCATTTCAAAAGACACAAAGAAGATATACTATTTATTTATAAGCAATTGTTTTCAACAGCTTCTTTTTTAATAAAGTGCAATGATGGACAGTTAACACTGTAAAATACTCACTATTATACCTTGCTGTTAAAGGTTCACGAAACCCTCGAGTACTTTTTATGTAGATTTGTGTGTGTTGAGCATCAGTTAAGACAATGTTCGCAACTGTCAGCTGTAATTGTAGGAAAAACTGGATCATTTTGAGCTTTTCTCAGCTCATTTCAGCTTCTGGGTTTAAAATGATTTTTGGAGCGGATCAAAATCGGCGACGGAGCGCAAAACTGCAAGTGCAAAGATGACACGTCGGTTTCTCATTATTATTCATAGCGGAGGTTCTTATCCTATGAGAAGAGCCGGCTGCTTAGTTGTTCATGACTGCACGTGCTTTCCGAAGGCAAGGCGGACCTGCCAGTGCCAAGCTGTGAGACGCTTTGATGATTGGGTGAGACCGCGCCCATGGACCCACGGCACACAGTATTTAGCTGTTCATGAAGGGTTGTATGTGTTTGTTTCCATGATCCACAGGGTTTGTTGCGTGTTTTTCCCCGCAATGCTGTCTGGGCCGATACAGCAAAGTTGTGTGTGTGCAGGAAGCATTTTTGTCGGTAGAGCAGTACGAGAATTGGAGAATGGCGGACGTCGTCTTTTATCAGGAGTTTGTTCACATTTAGACACATCACCGTGCTGCTGTGTTCACCTAAATCCTCAGATTACCAGCAGGGCTAATGGTTAAAATAGACAGGGCAAGAGACCTGCTGCACTGAGTCTGCATTCAGACCCGGGGATTGAGGGAGAAGTCCTCATTAACAGTGTTTATATGAACACCATTATCTTTATAATGATATAAATTGTGGTTATCTGTATATAAAATTATGAATAGCAAATGCAGCAGGGCATTAAATTACTGTTTATTTCTTTGCATGTAAACTTAGTAAACTATAAAATCATGCGTCTCCTCACGGTTTGTGTCTCATTTTGTTTGCTAACTGACAACACAACAGTTGTTTGCTCCCCTCTTTCTCCCCTGCTGGCCACGCCCACTCCTGCCCTCTGCTCGTGGAGCTCCACGCCCACTATGATGCATCTTTTGAAGAAATTCTGAGGTAGACCTGAACCGAAAGTGGGGGGTGTCATGGCCCTTTAGCGTTGTAAAATTAAATGATCACATATTATGATTTTTAAACATTCACTTCATATTACGTACATTTAGAAAACATTACCAACAATACTTTGAAAAACGTTAAATTCACAGTAATATCACCATCAAATTTTTCATCTGAAAAACGCTAGAAGTGTATTTACTGGAACAATAGCAGTGTCCCGTATCTGCCAAAAAAAACAAAAAAACAAAAACATTGAATCATCACAAGGAATTACATTTAAAAATAGTTGCGTATAAAATTTGCGTCTATTTGGGTTACATAGTTTTCATATGAAACAAACAAGAAAACCGTTTGTGTAATAATATCAATAAAGCCAATGTGTTTTAAATGCTGCTTATTCATTTAAAGTAAATCAGATTTATTGATATTATTACATAAATCTTGTTGTTATTGCTTATTATTGGCCACAGCCATGTCACCCTGCAGCCCAAGATCAGTTACTCGCTGAAGCTAAGCGGGGCTGAGCCTGGTCAGTAGCTGGATGGGAGACCACTAGGGAACACTAGGGGTCCGTTCTTCGTATGTGGATTACTCAGTTATCTGGATTTGGATATTGACGATTTGACATGATCCAGGATCGTTTCGTTCTTCAAAGCTGATCCGAGAGTTGTTGTCATGGCAACAGTTCTGCTAGCTCAAACCTGATCGGGAGCAGGTTCAATTCATATAAACAGGATTAGATCGGCTCAGTTCAAGCAAAGATAATACAGAAAGTATGTTCCCAATTCTGATATTTTCTTACAGTAGTAGTTATATAAACTTGGGAAAATGGTACATATTTTTAACTATATATATATATATATATATATAAAGTTATAGTCATTAATAAAATAAATAAAGTTATACATATTAATAAAACGTATGCATTCTGCACCCTCGAAATGAACAAAGACTGCCATCTGGTGGTGCAAAGAGAAAACTTATTGATATGAACTTTTTAGATCGCTTTAGTACAAATTGTGTATAATAGAAATGCACAATATGTGACTTTTTTTTAAAAGCAATAATACATTCATGCAGTCATAAACATGTTTTGATTGTTAATATGCCGGTGATTGATGCTTCACAAAAGTTGCAGACGCCTTTACCAATATGAAAATGCTTTTGTAAACAACCAGTTATTCTTTACACCGATTAAAAAACGGCTACTATAATAAAGAAAATCTTTTCTAAATGTAGAACTAAATACATTGATTTGCATTGAAATGCATAATGAATACTCTTGACACATGAAAGTGTAAAGCCTGCAGCTCACAACAAATGTGGAAGGTTATTGCGTGTCATATTTAACACCGTTTGCTGCTAATTTGATGTAATTTTGCTCACATGGATAATTGAATATTAATCAGATGATGTCATTACGCAGCTGTGCCGTCAGCCAATCATTGCATTGCTGATCATGATTTCGAGGATCGATAGATCTGTCCTTCATAACACACGCAGCGATCTCAGATCAGTTCATCCAGACATTCTAATCTAATTCGCGAACTTGTTTGAAGAACCAAATTAGCGAGAGATCAGTTATCAAGATTAACAGATCCAGGATCTGCCAAATCATCTTAGATCATTTAAGCGAGGTACGAAGAACGGACCCCAGGTTGCTGTTGGAAGTGGGGTTAGTGAGGCCAGCAGGGGGCGCTCAACCTGTAGTCTGTGTGAGTGCTAATACCCCAGTAAAAGTGGAGGGGACACTACAGTCAGTGAGCGCCGTCTTTCAGATATGTTAAACCGAGGTCCTGACTCTCTGTGCTCATTAAATATCCTGTTTCACTCCTCTTAAAGAAGCTATAGCTGGTGTGTGGTGAGCGCACTGGCGCCGTTGTCCTGTGGCTGCCTTCGCCTCATCTAAGTGGATGCTGCACACTGGTGGTGGAATGGGGAGACTCCACTTATGATTGTGAAGCGCTTTGGGTGTATAGGCTTACATGATAAATACGCTATATAAATACACATTACTTATTTGTTTTATTTACTGCATATTTAACTTACAGATATCAGTCACATAAAGTTTATTAGTTCAATAATGATGAAGGTAGGTAATCCAAATGGATGCTAATTGTCTATGCGATAAGAATACATAAAGCTTTTTTTGTTAGGCCTAAATATGTTTGAATATGTATGAGTGTATGAAAAATATAAACATTTAAAGAAAAGAATCAATGAATTGTAAACAACTTACCGCCATTACGTAAATAATATGTAATTCATAAAAAAGTAATCTGATTACCAGTACCTTAAAAGGTGCTTAACTCTAATTTAAAGTACTCGATTTTTGGAATATGATAGCATAATCCAGATTACAAATAATCAGTCACTACCCAGCTCTGATTGTGTACAGTTGAAGTCAGAATTATTCGCCTCCTGTGATTTTGTATTTACTTTTTCAGATATTTCCCAAGTGATATTTAACAGATTCAGGAAATTTCCACAGTATTTCCTACAATATTTTTTCTTCTGGAGAAAGTCTTATTTGTTTTATTTTGGCTAGGATAAAAGCAGTTTTAAACCCATTTTAAGGCCAATATTATTAGCCCCCTTAAGGAATATTTGTTTTGGATTGTCTCCAGAACAAACCACTGTTATACAATGACTTGTCTAATTACCCTAACTTTACCATAATTAACCTAGTTAAGCCTTTAAATGTCACTTTAAGCTGTATAGAAGTGTCTTGAAGAATATCTAGTCTAATATTATGTGCTGTCATCATGACAAAGATAAAATAAATCCAATATTAGAAATGAGTTATTAAAACTATTATGATTATAAATGTGTTGGAAAAAATCTCTTCATTAAACAGACATTTGGGAAAAACTGAAGGGTTAATAATTCTGACTTTATATGAGATTAACTCTGTGAAGGGTCAACCACACGTCCCATAAACACAACACAGCCAGTACGGTGCTCATAGATGAGAAAGAGGAATGGTCGATCCACAATGAAGCGTGTTTGTGTTGATAAAGGCATGAATCCGATGTGTGTCATGGCTGCAGCCTCCGTTCCTTCTTCATTTACCGTAATGCTGCCCTGATGCTTAAACTGAGAGAGAAAAAGAGCAGGGTTACAATATGTTGATTAGGCATGGGATGATAACCAATTTCAAGGCTTACCACGGTTTGGAAAAGTCAAGGTTTTAAAACAGCTAACCTTTTCTGTTATAGCGCTCCTATATGTAATTTTTGTTTGTTAAGACCAGGGGTGCCCTACCTTTTTCGTATGAAGGGCCAAAAACCAAATATCATTGTCAACTGTGGGCTGAAGATAAATATAAAAACTATTTATATATATATTTAAATATATATATATATATATATATATATATATATATATATATATATATATATGTATATGTGTGTGTATATATATATATATATATATATGTATATGTGTGTGTATATATATATATATATATATATATATATATCAGGTGCTCAATGTATATATATATATATATATATATATGTATGTATATATATATGTATGTATATATATATGTATATATGTATATATATATATATATATATATATATATATATATGTATATATGTATATATGTATATATATATGTATATATATATATATGTATATATATAATGTATATATATATGTATATATATATGTATATATATATATATATGTATATATATATGTATATATATATGTATATATATATATGACCAATATGATTGGTGGAGAAGATTTTGACGCGGCACGTCAAAACCAAAAAATGAGCATGAGGCGTTTTTTTGTAAAATGACGCTTTTGAAAAATAAGCATTGTTGTTACTCCCTACCTCTGACTGGTTTCTTTCTATCTGTTTTATCTATATCTGTGACACTTGCTTCATTTATTGACTGTTATTGTTTCTAATGTATGTACTCTGACCTGTCCACCAAGTTACCTTTACATGCATACACACACTCGCACGCACACACTCACGCACATACCAGTACCTCACTATATTGTTGTTGTTTTTGTTTTGTTTTTGTTTCGTTGCTTTGTATTTGTCATTTGTTGATGTTTTCTTGTATTTGTATGATTTTTGCATATTCTAATTAAAAAAAAAAAAATGACGCTTTTGCACCTGGCATTGCGCGATTACATTGACGCCCTTTATTTAGTCAGAGGCGATTAAACGTCGATGGAAAACGCGAGCAAAAAACGTCTCTGTGTGTACAGGCCTTAAATTATGTAATTGATTATTTGAGTGTACACTTTGCTGTTTTTATTTGACAGTGGTGCACATGCATTTTTTACACAGTTAATAAATTAAATTAAATTAGTAATGTGATTAATTTAGCATATTGCTGTCAGGGTTTGAATAGAATCAAAAAAGAATCACATTAACAGTGAGGAATCAATTCTCAGAGTCGACTCCTTTGATCTAAAACAGGAATCGAAATCGTGATTCAATTCCAAAAATGTAATTGGAATCAAATTTGGATTTTAACAGCTCTGCTGCTTTAATTACAGCTGTTACCTTGGAAATTACTAGTTCTGGATTTCCCTGCTGTCAGAGAGTCAATCTGCATTTACAATCAGTCTTTCTGCTGTGCTCCTTCAGTCCAGTTCTCCTTCAGTCTAGTCAACTTAAATATTTATTTCCTGCAGTGGAAAAGCCACCACATATAGGGCCCTATCATACACCCGGCGCAGTGTGGCGCAAGGCGCAACGCAAAACTTGTTTGGTAGTTTTAGCTTGGCGCAAGAGTCGTTTTGAGGCGTTGCGCTACGCTGTTTAATTAGCAAATGCATTAGCGCTCATGTGCGCCCATAGGCGTTCTGGTCTAAAAAGGAAGGCGTTCTGAGGCGCACTGCTGGTGCATTGCTATTTTGAGAAACTAAAATAGATTTTTCATTAGACCAAACAAACCCGGTCTAAACTCCGGCGCAGAGTTGCGCCTCGCTTACACACTGCTTAATACACACAAGAGAGCAATAGGCAAATATCTGTACATATAAAAAAAACAAATATTAAGGATATATATAGGATATAATAAGAATGGATATAGGATATAAATATAAAGGATTAAAATATTAGAAAACATATTATTTTCTAGCCTACATAAATATGACAAGTCACTGCTTTTATGTCTTCTTCATCTCGGGAGGTTTTTTCAGTTCATTCATAACAATTTGCTTTTGTATAATGTTATTATTATTAGCAGTATTATTTATTATATCCATATTTATATTTGTTTTATTAAAAACAAGCTTAGTTTTGTCCACCTGTCAGGTTTTAGACCATATGGGGCGCAGTATGTGTTTTAGGATATAACTCAGGTTTTTCACCACACTTCGTTATTATTGTTCATTTATTCGTTTGCTGGAAATTAGAAATGAATTTAGAAATAGTTTTGAAACGAATATTTGCGCTTAACAAACACAATTAATTATTTATAGGCTAATTGATGTCTGTGCGTAAAGGTTTCCCTATCCAAAAGCGAAAGTGAAAGTAGATCCATTATCTCTCATTCTCACGCAGTAGATGCTCTGTTTAACTGTTTTCTGTTAAAAAATCTGTTAACTGTTTGCTAGTGAAATGCTCAGTTTTTCCACTTAGACTTACTTTGAATCCAGTAAATAGCGAATGCGCTTATGGCGCTACGCAGCTGGCTCTTAAAGGGAATGAGAGATGAGACTCTAATTGGTTTATTTTCAAAACACACCTATAACTCATTAAGAAAATAAACTCAACCCTTTTAGACCATGCGCCACGGTGCAAAGCGGATTTTCCCGTCCGTAAATCAGCAAAAATGCGTTCTGACATGCCCTGAAAGCGTTTGCGCCCTGCGTTTTGCGCTCTGCGCATGAACCGTCAAAATAGAGCCCATAGAGTGCAAGCATATGGTAAACACCTAGGCCAAATACATATTAAATGCCAGATCTGATTGCATTCTTGCATGTGTTTGTTGTTCTCTTACCCAGTTAATGATGACTTTCTCTGAGGTCATCGGAGAAAAGTCGCCCTTTTCCGTGAATATATCCGTCATTCCCATTTCCTTCAGGTGCTCAATCAGGTCATAGTTCTGCTCCAGCTTAAACCGAGGGAACACCACTTCACGAGTCCTAATAGAAAGTGCACAAGAAAACGTTTCGGTATCTGAACATAACACACCATACAATCAGAAGTACTGATCACCTCAGAAATACACCTCAGAAGTCCAATCTGAGCTTATTCAAGGACAGATGATGATTTGGATGCAGGAGCATGTCCTATTTGCTAATTGTGTTAATCAGGTTTTAAAATGAGGAACATTTAAAGGTGCTGCCGTGTTTGTAACATCATAAGGTCTTTTGCATTGGTTAGTTAAAGGAACTAGCCCACCAGGCCAGTCCCCGACAACTAAAATGTCTAAAATTGTGTGTATTGGGTGATAATGCAGATGGAGTGTGAATGTTTAAGTTATGTAAGTGCAAATAGTAGTATCAGTAGACTAATTCATCCATGACAACATGTTGCGCTACGTCTCTTTTGGGCTAAGAAAAGAACACAATACCACAGACAAAAATTATAGTTAAATGCAGCAAACATTAGTTCTGTTTTTGTGCTGCTGTTTCGTATGACATTTATTCAGTCAAAGTAACATCATGACACTGGTAGTTTAGGGGTTTTGGGTATGGCACATTACCTGTTGGTCATATTGTTTATATCTTCACGTGAACACAGCTGCTGCGCTCGTGCATCCGGGTTAATCATGAACAACTCAGTGCGCATGCACTAGTTGCACTATCGCGGTCTGATTATGTTTTATTAAGGTTTATATGCATCAAATACATAACATCTGTGCCAAACATCTCAACTGACGAACATATTAACAATAATACAACCGTATAGCCCAATTAAATGTATACATTGGAATGTTACAGCCCTAATGAGTATAAATATGTGAAACTCCATATAGATGCATATTGCAATGATTTCGGGGGCTTAGCGATTCACGCACACATATATGCACAATCCGTAAATGCTCTGCTGATTTGGACTCTATAATACCTGTTTTATAACTTGAAACTATCAACAACCACCACTGAGCTATATTCTAGCGATCGTTCTTCCCGCTCCGTGGTGGATTTTGGCATAGTCCGTTTCACGTAAGATGGTGTGGGTGAGTGGAAAAAACCAAGTCGCGGGGGGAATAGACCAGTGGTCCGCGGCCCGGTGGTTGTGGACTACAGGTCTAGAGTATAGTGCTTTACTTGTTGGTGATATTGTTATGCCACTTAACAAATAAGTTACTTTAACTTAAGGCATTCCCTGTTCCTCTGAACATACCAAGAAGTGGGTATCACCACCAATAGTTGTAGGAACTATAAAAAAAAAAATGTCTCTATAATATGAAAGCCTACATGGTCTAGGATGTGCTCTGATCTTGAGAATGGTCATATTGTTTAGCCACTTTACAAATCCTATAACTAAAGTCATACCGACTTTCATAAACTAGCTATCTCTGCCGATAGATCTAGGAATGGTGAAAATTGCCGTTTAATATGAAAGTCTCTATGGTCTAGTGGTCTTGTTTATAGTTTTTTATCTGTTTGTCATATCGTTACGGCACTTAACAAATGAGTTCATATAACTAAAGTCATTCCCCGTCCTGTGAACATACCAAAAAGTGGGTATCACCACCAATAGATCTGGAAACTGTAAAAATATTCCTTTTAATATGTAAGCCTCTGTGGTCTAGATTATAGTGGTTTACCTGTTGGTCATATTGTTATCCTACTAAAAATAAGTTCCTATAACTAAAGCCATTCCCAGTTCCTGTGAACATACCAAGAAGTGGGTATCGCCACCAATAGTTCTAGGAACTATTTAAAAATATAACCCTCCTTCAGTATGAAAGCTTCAATGGTCTAGTGGTCTTGAATATACTGGTTTACCTGTTGGTCACATTGTTATGCCACTTAACAAATGAGTTCCTCTAACAAAAGTCATACCCACTTCCACATGAACTAGGTATCTCTACCGATAGATCTAGGAAAGGTAAAAATCTTACTTCAGTATGAAAGCCTCTATGGTCTAGTGGTCTTGTTTACAGCGTTTTACCTGTTGGTCATATTGTTCTCCCACTTAGCAAATGAGTTCCTATAGCTAAAGTCATTCCCAGTTCCTGTGAACATACCAAGAAGTGGGTATCTCCACCAATAGTTCTTGGAACTATTTAAAAATATAACCTTTTTTTAGTATGAAAGCCTCTATGATCTAGTGGTCTTGAATATAGTGGTGTACCAGTTGGTAATATTATTATCCTACTAAAAATAAGTTCCTATAACTAAAGCCATTCCCAGTTCCTGTGAACATACCAAGAAGTGGGTATCCCCACCAATAGTTCTAGGAACTGTTTAAAAATATAACCCTCCTTCAGTATGAAAGCTTCAATGGTCTAGTGGTCTTGAATATACTGGTTTACCTGTTGGTCACATTGTTATGCCACTTAACAAATGAGTTCCTCTAACAAAAGTCATACCCACTTCCACAAGAACTAGGTATCTCTACCGATAGATCTAGAAATGGTAAAAATCTTACTTCAGTATGAAAGCCTCTATGGTCTAGTGGTCTTGTTTACAGTGTTTTACATGTTGCTCATATTGTTCTCCCACTTGAGCAAATGAGTTTCTATAACTAAAGTCATTACCGGTTCCTGTGGAACATACCAAGAATGGGGTATCGCCACCAACTGTTGTAGGAACTATTGAAAAAAAATAATTTTCCTTTTGTATGAAAGCCCCTATGGTCTAGTGATATTGAGTATAGAGTTTACCTGTTGGTCATATTGTTGTGCCAATTAACAAATGAGTTCCTACTGTATAACTAAAATCATTCCCAATTCCTGTGAACATTACAAAAAGTGCATCACCACTAATAATTGTAGGAACTATTAAAATCTTCCTGCAGTATGACTAGTTTAACTAAAGTTATTCCCACTTTTTGGCATGTTCACAGGAACTGGAAATCTTCATTAATAGTTCTAGGAACTATGGAGACTTTTTTGCAGAATGGAAGTCTTTATGGTCTAGTGATGTAGAGTATGGTGCTTTACCTGTTGGTCATATTGTTATGCCACTTAACAAAGGTGTTCCTATAACTAAAGGCATTCCCAGTTCCTGTGAACATACCAATAAATGGGTATCTCCACGAATAGTTCTAGGAACTATGAAAATGTTCCTGCTGTATGAAAGCCTCTATTGTCTACTGATCTAGAGTGTGGTGCTTTACCTGTTGGTCATATTGCTAAGCCACTTGTTGACGAGGGTTGGGGAAATCTCCTGCTCCAGGGATCTCATTCCCGAGAGTTTCTGAGGAACGGCGATGAGCATGCTGATGTTTCCGGCATAGGGCAACTGCAGTATATCACAGTTGAGCTCGTGGTCGGCCGCTGCCAGGTAACTCCCCTTGTTCTGCATCATGAGGACACGCACCTGCTTTTTCTCATTGACACGGAATTGCCTGTGGTGTGTCAGCTCCTTCGGGAACTTCTGCTCCCACGTACCTGTGTTTGTTGTGACAGTTGGAAACATGAAGTTATGGTGTTACTTGGGGCATACATGTAATATTATTCGTTCTAACTGCTAGTGTTTCAAGTAGGGGCATCCTGTCCTGTTCCTGAAAGGTCATCTCTCAAAATGACCGACTAATCAAGGTCTTTAGGACCATGAGCATGTCAAAAGTACCATTCATGCAAATGTGTGGATCCTTCCAGTTGAATGATTTGACATCTCATTTTAAAACTCAAGTTGATAATCAGATTTCTTGGTAAGATTAAGGTAAAACTATATGATCACAGTGCACTTTTCTCTTACTGTTGCTTTTGGAATTACTATTGGTTGAGCTTAGGGAAGGGTTTTGGTTCTCTAAATGATCTGTAAGACAAACTCTGCCTTCTTGTGAACGTGTACAAAACGAATCCTAAGTAGTGGATTTCAGATTTGCTAAAATGTAGACAGCACCCGCTAGTGGATTAGTCATCTGAAACGTACAACAAAACGTACCCTAAATAACCTATTTTCAAGAGTTCACACTTGTGATTGACAATAAAGCATTTGGCATGCTGTCTTGGGAGAGAGCCCTGAGCTCAGAAGCTCCTCAAGCATAGGGCTCCCCCCCGTTTGAAGGGCGAAAGGGTAGTTTGAGCTCAGGTAGGTCTCGAAGCTCCCCTGGTTTAGTTAGGGGAGCTTATGACAGCTTATAGAGATTGCTATGGAGAGATAAACTGCTGACTGAAAGGCGTAGGTAGGAGCCTGACTAAGAGCTTATCTATAGTGCCAGGGCCGGCGCGTCCATAGAGGTGACCTAGGCGGCCACCTGGGGCGGCAGTATAGAGAGGGCGGCATCCGCTACTCCTCCATTACCACCCGTGTCCTCAGTTATGCCCACGACACCTCCCTCACTACCCACGTCTTCAGATATATTCGCGCATAGACGCAAGAATAGAGAGGGCGGCGTCAGCGACACCTCCATCAGCACCCGCGTGTCCTCAGTTATATCCGCGCATAGGGCGGCAGAATAGAGGTCCGCGACACCCGCGCGTCCTTAGTTATATCCACGCATACGGCGGCAGAATAGGGAGCCCGGTGTCCGCGACACCTCCCTCCCTCCGTCAGCACCCGCGCATCCTCAGTTATATCCGCGCATAGGGCGGCAGAATAGAGGTCCGCAACACCTCACTTCATTTTCATAACCGGTCACTTTCGTTTTCACATTGGGGTTGAGGGCGGCGTGATCGTCCTCTGCCTAGAGCGGCAGTTCAGCTTGCTCCGGCCCTGTATAGTGCCAATTTGGTTAAGTCAATTCACTTATGTCGCATGTCTTTGGACTGTGGGAGGAAACTGGGGAACCTGGAGGAAACCCAAGCGAGCATGGAGAGAACATGTAAACTCTGCACAGAAACATCGACTGGCCTAGTATGGACTTGAACCAGTGGCGTTCTTGCTGTGAGGCAACAGTACTAACCACTGAGCCGCCATGTTGCCCTATCTAGGAAAAGGGAGGAGGAGTAGGGGTGGAAGGGGGGATTATGAAGAAAACTAAGGTAAGCAAGTCTGTTTTTTGAATCATCTGATTGGAGAATCATGTGATAGCTAATGTGAATCCAGCCGTGATCAGTCATAAGCATGTGATCCCAAAATTAAATTATAAATAAAGTTCACTCAGATTCACAAAAAAATGCAAACAGCACCCTCTAGTGAGCTTGTCATCTGAAACATACAACAAAATGTATCCTAATGCCGAGTTCAGACTTCATGATTTTAGCCCCGATTTTGACTCGCCGACAGGTTTTGAGAAATCGACGACAATTGTCTGAAATCACAGGCAAATCGCTGCTCGTGCACGTGAGTGACGATCACACAGTATGAACTATCAAAGACGCGATCTGAGAGAATCGCAAAAGAGTCACCGATGCCTGTGAGATATTTGGCGTGCTGAATATCTGGAGCTGTCGGCGATTCAAATCATGCCGTGTGGAATGAGCTTTGACTGAAAATAACATCAGCGATCGCCTACAGCCAATGAGAGAGCAGCATTCACTTGTACGTGTGCACCTGCAGGCCAGCGGGAGGTTGAGGGAGAAGTTAAAAGTGCTCATTTTTGGTTTATTTGGACCCAAGAAATGGAGGAAAAACTAGTTGAGGTTTGACAGGAGCAGCCGTGTCTGTTTGACATTTCATACAGAAAGTTAAAAAAGAAAGTTGAGGAGAAATGGCTAATTCCCTTCAAACCCAGGTGAGCAAATGTGTACATTTTCTGTCCTATTAAATAACAACGTTAATAACAAAAGATATATGACGTGTTTTTCGCCGTGAGACATAGTTTGGACAAAGTTGTCAGCGATTCTTCCTATTGTAAGTCATGCAATGTGAAAGCCCCTGTCGCTGATCCAACTTGCAGTGTAAACAAAGCAGTGACGAAACGCTACTCCAGATGGTCATGCAGTGTGAAAACATCTGTGACACGACTACTTTAAAAATCACACAGTCTGAACTTGACAGAAGTCACAGATTTCAGATTTGCAAAAAATGTAAACAGCACCCTCTAGTGGATTTGTCAATTGCAACATGCAAAAAAACGTACCCTAAGTAACGTATTTCAAATTCACAAAAATGTATACTGCACCCTCTGTTGGATTTGTAGAAACGTGCTACATAATGTACCCTAAGTCGCAAATATCAAATTCATAAAATGCACACAATGCCATCTAGTGGAATTGTCATCTGAAACATGCAACAAAACATATTCAGATTAGCATGTTTTGCATTTTGCAAAAAAAGAAGACTAAGGCATGTATTTCCAGTGATCCTGTGCTGACATTTTACTTAGTACATGATAATTTGCCGTAAGTTTGCTGTAAGTGCAATTTTAAGTTCTATATAATGACTATTCACATCAAAGTGCAAATCATTTTTTATTTCTGTATTTTTTAGGTTTACAGCTCAATGGACCCTTTTCACAAGACTGTTATGACGCGTTTAAATGTGTCTTTGAGATGCGATTTAAGATTTAACTATCTTAAGTCCTTGAAAGTCTTTTAATATTTAGATTTTTTTTTTCTTTTCGGGTTTTCACCTTTAATGGATAGGACAGTGTAGAGCAGGGATCACCAAACTAGTTCCTGGAGGGCCGGTATCCTGCAGATTTTAGCTCCAACCCTAATCAAACACACCTAGACAAGCTAATCATGGTCTTGGGTATACTTTAAACATCCAGGCAGGTGTGTTGAGGCAAGTTGGAGCTAAACCCTGCAGGGACACCGGCCCTCCAGGACCGAGGTTGGTGACCCCGGGTGTAGAGTATTGACAGGAAAGCAGAGAGAGGGGAAGGATCGGTATAGGGCCACGAGGCGGGAATTGAACTTGGGTTGCCGTGAGCACCGGAGCGCATGTGTCGACACGCTAACCACTACTGGCACCAACATATTTAGATTTTTTTTAAATGTATGCACATTTATTTGTATGTACAAGTGTTTTACATAATCTTTGCATCAAAGTACCGCGTATGTGAGGTGTTTCTAATACAGTGTCTATGGTTCAGGACAGTAAATTTGACATTATTCTCTCTTCTGGCTGCCGGCGTCAGTCTCGCATTATTTTTTTCCTTTTTCTAAAAGTCTTGATAACACCATTGTGGAGTTTTTCTTTTATTATTTGAGCAAATAAGATTGGTAAAAATTATTTGTTGTACTTTCTATTTACTGCGCTCTAAGTTTGAACCAACTATGATGACTTCTGCTGCTGAGAAGCCCACAAATGTGAAAAGAGTCCATAAAAAGCACTAAAGTGGTCTATAATTGATGTACCTTTGAAGTAGAGGTAATTGAGGAGCATCACGGCCATGTTCGGGTCTACGCTCTTCAGCGGCTCCTTTATCAGACCTTTGGTGATCTTCTGAATCCGCTGATTGGCTTTCACAAGGAACGCTGGATCGGCGAAATCAACAGACTGTGGCTCAGCAAAATAGTACGTCTTAGCATCCGCCCGGAAACTGTCCTGTATCTGCACATTGCGTTTCACATAGAGGTCGTTAACCGATCGCAACGTGTAGCCGAAGTTTCGTCTGAAGAGCCTGTGCGTGAGTTTGCGAAACAGCTTGTGCACGGTCGAGTTATCGTAATGATTGCTGGCATTGACGAATTCTGCAAATCCCACAGTTTGGAAGAGTTGCTCTTGAGTGTTCGGACCCACTCCCAAACCCATCATCCCCATTGCGATGGAAATCCCAACCGGAGCAAGAAGAATGTTGTCCGTTTGGTTTAATCGATTGCGCAGTTTCCGATAAAGTCGAAACCCGAAGCGTGCATTGACAACGTTGATGCGCTGGAGGCGTGTTTGACCGTGGAATAGCCGCAATAGACGTGCTCTACGAATTTTAGGGTCACTAGGCTCATAGAAGAGGTCAAGGTCTGGAGCAGGGGTGGAGATCTCGTCTATATGATCGCCTTCACTGTAGTCGTCTTCACCCAAGATTTTATCGAAGTCTACATAATCTTCGTCATCCTGGCCCTCCGGGAGGTCATTCGTGACGGTGTTTTCCCGATGGAAGTCTAGGGGAATGGACTCCATGTCTGTGTTTTCTCCACCTGGAGATAGTCCACGCGCATCCACTGTCTTTTCCTTCTCAAGTGTGCTGAAGTGTGAACTCAAGTCCTTGACTCCAGCTAAAGCAGGGCTGTTCAGGAGACATGCTACAACTATCACTGGAACGAGCCACATCCTTTAGAAACAAAGAAAATGCATGAGGTTTATTAGATTAGATTAGATTCAACTTCATTGTCATTACACATGTACAAATGCAATGCAACGAAATGCATTGCATTATTCCATTTACATTTAGTCATTTAGCGACTTACAATTGAGGAGGCGTTCAGTAATTCATCAAGAAGAGGCAATACACACAAGAAGTGCTAGTTATACAAAAAAAACATGTTCAGACTATTTAATGCTAGAGTAAGACACTGACGTCCAGCGATCTCCAGTCTCCGGCGCCTAGACTGCAGCTCTCCACAAGACTTTTTGCCATGTGAGAAATGGTCGTGCCCAACTGAGAGCGGTTTCTCCTAAGGTTTTTTTTTCTTTCCTTCACTTTCGCCCATTGGTGAAGTTTTTTCCTCACCGCTGTTGCCACTGGCTTGCATAGTTCGGGATTTGTAGAGCTGCGCATCGATGGATTACACTTTAGTGTTTGGACTTTCAGCAGTGAATATTAAAACACATTGAACTGAACTGAGCTAATCTAAACTGAGCTGAACTTAAACTCTGAAAACTGAACTGACACTGTTTCAATTCACTATAATCTTCTATGTTAAGCTGCTCTGACAAAATCTACATTGTAAAAGCGCTATACAAATAAAGAATAATTAAATTGAACATTAAAAGTAAGAGTGGATTTTTGAGGGAGAGAGAGAGAGAGAGAGAGAGAGAGAGAGAGAGAGAGAGAGAGAGAGAGAGAGAGAGAGAGAGAGAGAGAGAGAGAGAGAGAGAGAGAGAGAGAGAGAGAGAGAGAGAGAGAGAGAGAGAGAGAGAGAGAGAGAGAGAGAGAGAGAGAGAGTGCTTCCACAGGTGTTTCTGATTTTATTCATTGGGGTTAAAGAGATCTCGGAAGAGATGGTTTTTTAGTTTGTTGTTTTTAAGGATACCAGTTCAGTACTATTCAATGATGTTGAATGATTAATTCTTCCCAACAAGTACTTTCAAATGCAAAAACATGTTCACTTATGAATTTATAGATAATAATAATATTAATAATAATAATAATTCCTTACATTTTTTATATAGCGCTTTTCTGGGCACTCAAAGCGCTTTACACAATGGGGGGGAATTTCCTCATCCACCACCAGTGTGCAGCATCCACCTGGATGACGCGACAGCAGCCACACCACCTGATTGGTGGAGAGGAGACAGAGTGATGAAGCCAATTATGATATAGGGATGGTTAGGAGGCCATGATGGACAGAGGCCAGTGGGCAGATTTGGCCAGGATGCCAGGGTTAAACCCCTACTCTTTTTCGAAAGACATCCTGGGATTTTTAATGACCACAGAGAGCCAGGACCTCGTTTTGACGTCTCATCCGAAAGACGGCGCTCACTGAGCAGTATAGAGTCGCCGTCACTATACTGGGGCATTAGGACCCACACAGACCACAGGTTGAGCGCCCCCTGCTGGCCTCACTAACACCAGCAAACAAGCTTTCCCATGTGGTCTCCCATCCAGGTATACTGACCGGGCACAGCCCTGCTTAGCTTTGGTGGGTGACCATGTGAGAGTTGCAGAGAGTTAGCTGCCGCCTAATACCTATGACTAGTAATCTGCAAATGCAAAGCTTTCAATGCAAGACACTTTCTCTTAACAGATAATACTAAACAACTCGTAATCTATAAAAGCAAACCTTTCAATGCAAAACACTTTCCCATATGAAATAATACTTTGATTAGTAATCTATATTTGAAAGCTTTCGATGGAAACCTATAGATAAGGTGACTGATGGAGTTATATTCTCGATTTAATCCACTTAATCCAAGCAAAACAAACTAGTGCTTTGGATAAAAGTCACTAGATATATAGCACCGTCCTTCTCTTAATGCTGAGGTCGCTCCGAGGGAGGCTACTCGTAGTTAGTTTGCTTAAATCTCGCCATTTCGCTTTTATTAAGCTATTATTTACTCGTTAATTAAAGTTATTAGTAGGGCCAGACAGAATTTCTGCGCAGAATTTTGTAAAAAATTCAATCATTCATTTTCTTTTCGGCTTAGTCCCTTTGTTAATCAGGGGTCGCCACAGCGGAATGAACTGCCAACTTATCCAGCATATATTTACGCAGTAAATGCCTTTCCAGCCGCAACCCATCCCTGAGAAACACCCACACACATTCACACACATACACTATGGCTAATTTAGCTTATTCAATTTACCCTTAGCGCATGTTGTTGGACTGTGGGGGAAACCGGAGCACCCAGAGGAAACCCACGCTAACGCGGGGAGAGCATGCAAACTCCTCACAGAAATGACAACCGACCAAGCAGAGGGCTCAAACCAGCGACCTTCTTGCTGTGAGGCGATTGTGCTAACCTTAAACTTAATACTTGAAATAAAAAATACTACCTTTTTTACTTTGATGTAATGTTTACAATGCAAATCTAATTAGACCCAGTACTGTTTTGTAAATAAATCAAGTGAACTTTTTCACATTAGTCAATAATATTACTGAAATTAATTAAAAGACATAAAAATTTACACGAGTAAATAAACAGACTCAATGATGGGCTGATTTCTGCATGCACAGATTCCATTACTAGAACAAGCCACATCCTATGGAAACAAAAAGTGCATGCACTGTAAAAAACATGCAATGTTCCATACAATTCATTCATGATGTCCCAACACAAATCGATTAAGCTAACTTACCAAATTTAAGTGGATTGAACATAAAACAATTAAGTTGTCCCCAAAAAAAATCTCAAGAATCGTGTTGTTTCAGCTCATTTTAAAGGTGCAGTCGGTGATTGTCTTCAGAAACATGTTTTGTCGTGCTGGTTGAAAGTCTGTTCACATTCCAATATGCTCCCATAAGATACCATTCAGGTACCAATTGTCATCTAGATTTTTGTCAAAGAAATGTAATCTAATTTTACACCAATTTTATCTGAATTTTTTTCAGTTTTAATTCAGATATCAAAAATGTATTTGTAATCATTTTAATGCATTTTTAGTTAAATAAAGCAACTCTGAGTCAAAGAGATTTACAAATTAAGTAATTAATACAGGTCAGAAACCCCAAAGTAGTCACTGAAACACCAAAATCCAAAACAATTGCTGATCGCACTTCAGTGATTTGTTTTTTTAAAGAAGCGATTTACTTTCGGTTACATCCTTAGTCTGATCTCAAGAATATTACTGAATATCTTTACTGAAGTTTTATGCTAGATTTGATCTGCTTACCTGCTCTCTCTCCTTCTGGAATCTGTGTGTTTGTGTGTGTGTGTTGGTTCTCCAGCTGGACTTTGAAGTGGTTCTTTACTGATCAAACAGCAGCGAGTTCAAACAATCCAGACAGACCTTCATCTGACTCATTTAACCCTTTAAATGCACTTAATACTAGGTGTAATACTACAAATACAGTTGAAGTCAGAGCCTTCCTGAATTATTAGCCCCCCTGTATATTTTTTTCCTCAATTTTTGTTCAACAGAAAGATTTTTTTAAAACACATTGAAACATTTAAAAGGCTTTTAAAGGTGACATTTAAAGGCTTAACTAGGTTATTTAGGGTAAAGTTAGGGTAATTAGTCAAGTCAAGTTGTCTACAGACAATCCAAAACTAATATTGCTTAAGAGGGCTAATAATATTTGCCTTTAAAACAGTTAAAAACTTATTTTATTCTAGTCTAAATAAAACAAATAAGACTTTCTCCAGAAGAAAAACAATTTTAGAAAATACTGTGAAAAAGTCCTGAATCTGTTAAACATCATTTGGGAAATATTTGAAAAATAAATAAAAAATTCACAGGAGGGCAAATAATTCTGACTTCAACTGACTTCAAAAGTACAACACACTTTACAATATTAAAGTTCAAAAACACTAATATCTACTTTAAATTACTGTAATATTTTGCTTTGATGTGGGCATATATTTGGCATTAAAGAGCCCCTATCATACAAGAAATAGGGTCATATTTGGGTTGTAAGGGTCTCCAACAACAGTCTAATATGCATGCAAGGTCAAAAAAACACTTTCATGGTCTTATGATCTGCATTTATTTTTTTTCCTAATTATCCCAGCGACTCCCGTATGAATCGTCCAGTGATTCATTTGTTTCCAAACCCCCCCTTAGCGCGAAGCTAATCTGCACTGATTGGACCGATGACAGCCTGCTGCTATTGGTCGACACTGACTGCTTTCAGCCAGAGACAGAGTGAAATGCCCAGCAGCTAATCAACAACATAGAAGACACAGTGTATACGCGCTCGATAGTGTAAGTCGTGGAGTTCAGCTGATAGTGGGTGAATGTAAATACAGACGATGGACTTGAAAATACAGACGACTGACTATTTTACTGAGCAAAAACTCCCAAGAACTGGCGAGGAGATCTCCTAGCTTGTCACATTCTGCTCTTTTCACAGACACACACACACACACACACACATATTGCCCTCGTCCTTACGCACGCGTCCCCACACACACACACACACACACACACACACACACACACACACACACACACACACACACACACACACACACACAGAGACATAACCCTCCTCCAGATGACATCGCACACACACACACACACACACACACACACACACACACATTACACTCCTCCACGGGAACGTAAACAAAGCAGCACGCATCGCGTTTTTAACCTGGCTTTGCACGTGATATGAGAATATAGCGAGTTACCCTGATACAGCACACGCGGTTACAAGTTACAAAACACAACTAAATACATTTGCAAGCTGGAGAAAACGAGGCAACAACTTTAATCGCACGGACTTACACTTGAGAAATGGAGGAAGAAACCCATCCATGTTCTGACATGTCCATAGTCTTTACTGATCCTTCCTTTAACAAACGAAGTATTCTTTGTAGCATGTAGTTTCCAGAAGTTTCCAGTAGTTTCCAACTACTTAAAGCTGGGCTCATGCTGAGGTTTCATCTCTGGGTAGAGACTCAATATATTCATCTGCAGTGTGACTTCAATCGACCGGCATGTTTGTGTGTGTGTGTGTGTGTGTGTGTGTGTGGGTTTCTGCGTCAGAGGGCGGGGCCGCAGGTTTGAAATCTCCCGGGTTTGCGCGTGCACGTGAATAACTTGGTTTCGTTCGTACGTCATGGCAAAACACCTAATGACTCGTTATCAAGACGACTCATTTGAAGCACTATGAGTCGACTCTTTTATAGATGAATCAACAGTTTTAAACACTGTACTCTTACAGATTTAAGCCTTAGCTGGATACTTCACTTCACTGTAGAGTTACATGTAGTGTTGCACACTACATGGAAGGGCATTTTCAAAAACCCATAATATGAGCTCTTAATTAATATTGTTTGTGATTATTTTGGAATAGTTGACCCGCCGATTGCCCCCCATCAAAGAAGCCAAACCTCGCCTGCAGAAGCTCTTCAGGGATTTCTGGCTGTATTCTGTGGTCATGGGCTTTGCTGTGGAAGGTTCTGGTAAGGAAAACGGCAGAGCTTTTATTATGCCACAGTCCACGCTTTCATTCTCCATCTCATAATTTATCAGACTAACTATATTTTAGGCTTCTATATTAATGCTGCTCTGTATGTATCCCCGCCGGTTCTACGCCACCCAACCCACTCCGAGCTGGTTTTGATTCGCCGACCTTCCGCGTAGGAGTCTGTTGCTCTAACAAGGAGGCTAAAGACCATGGCCTCTAGCGTCTGTCACACCTTTTAGAGGTCAGAGGAGTGAGGTTTACCTGCACAGCACCTACTAGCTGGCCTCCGTTACATGTACAGTCCATTAAAAAAACATCTTAATGCTTTTTCTAGAACAGGGATTCTCAAACTTTTCAGCCCACAACCCTCATAATAACAATTCCAGTGACTCACGACCCCACTATCCTCGCAGGTGGTTATAAACATACAAACACTGCACACAACGGTGGACAGAAACAATTAGAAACTATATGAATATGAGCATATCGATAACACAAAATAAAGTGCAACAGTCGAACAACCATAGAATTTTTTTTTATGTCATGTTATTTATTTGTTTACTTAATATTAAATGTCTGTTGAAGGAGCAGCGTCAGCAGATATTAAGCAGACAGTCTACTAATACTCAAATGGACCACCAAAATGAAGTGTTACCAGTTGGTTTCCCATACACAAATATTTTTCATGCAAATTTTCATTTATTTCACTGATCAAAAATGCATTTGTTATTCTTTTAGTTTTAGTTAATGCTTTAAGTTAAAGCTTCATTTTCGAATTAAATTTGATCAGATTTTCAATTTGCATCCTTTAGGACACAATTCATTAAGTTAAGAACTTGTATAGCAAAATTTTAGCAAAATATATAATACTGTTTTTGTGGCTTTTGGATATATTAATGAAAAAGTCTGACATAATGTGCCTTTAAACAGACCGATCATAAGTGTTTCTCTGTCACAGTGTTTATATAAATGTGTGTTTTAGGTCTGTGGCCTGAGGAATGGTACGAGGGTGTGTGTGAAATCGCCACTAAATCTCCTCTGCTGACGTTCCCCAGTGGAGAACCGCTGCGCTCAGAGCTCCAGTATAACTCTGCGCTGAAGAACGACACCGTCACTCCGGTATACACACACTCTCTGTCTCTGTGTTGTTCTACTGTCAGTGAAAACAAATGCTAATAGTCGAGGATTACACAGTCATGTAATTTTTGGAATATTATGGAATTTTAAATGGTATATTGCAGACATTGAAAGTCAGGGAATTTTTATACACACACACACACTTTTGTTTTTCTTTTTTAAATATTTCCCAAATGATGTTGAGCAGATTCAGGAATTTTTCACAGTATTTCCTATAATATTTTTTCTTCTGGAAAAAGTCTTATTTGTTTTATTTTGGCTGGAATAAAAGCAGTTTTTAATTGTTTTAAAGCCATTTTAAGGTCAATATTATTAATCCTTAAGCAATATTTGTTTTGGATTGTCTCCAGAACAAACCACTGTTATACAATGACTTGCCTAATTACCCTAACTTCACCCTTATTAACCCAGTGAAGCTTTTAAATGTCACTTTAAGCTGAATACTGGTATCTTGAAGAATATCTAGCCAAATATTATGTGCTGTCATCATGGCAAAGAGAAAATAAATCAGTTATTGGAGATGAGAGGTTTGAGGAAACTTGGAAAGATATTAGAAAAGCTTTTTTATTTAATGGATAAAAACAAGTGCTTTATTTGTTTATTGGTAATAAAAAATTGAGAATTTAGCAACTGTTTTGCCTTGCAACGATTTAGTATTTTGCATTTTTGCTTGCGTACTGTTTTACCTGAAATACGCTGCCAAAAAGGCCTTTCTTACTTCAAGTTTTTGTCTTGTTTCTAGTTCAAACATCTAACAATTCTTAAATTGAGAAGGATTTAACATGTTGTCATGTTTTGTGAAATAAGAAGTCAAAATTAATTGTTTTTCCTTAAAACATGCTCAATAATTTAGCCCACAGGCAGAATGTTTAACTTCTTTTAATGCTTAACTTCTTTTAATGTTTAACTTCTTTTTTTTTCTCTTTTTCTTTTTCTTATAAAAGTTATATTTTCTTTATTTTTTTCTTATAAATATTTCAGTAGAACCGTAGTTAAAGAGATAATTCACCCAAAAATTAAGTTTGTCTGTCTGTTTACTCTCACCCAAGTGTTTCCAAAAATGTATGAGTTTCTTTCTTTTGTTCGACACAAAAGAAGATATTTGGAAGAATGCTGAAAATCGGTAACCATTGACTTCCATAGTAGGAAAAAACAAATACTATGCAAGTCAATGGTTACCGATTTTCAGCATTCTTTAAAATATATAATTCAGTGGGGTGAGTAAAATAATCTTATTTAAAAGTGTAAACAACATTATTTTGCTTAGCCCACAGACAGAATATTTAGCTTCCTTTAAGGAAAAACTCTTTATTTCGACCTACTATTTTTGAAAAACAAGGTTATATTTTTACTCGTTTTAAAATGCTTCTTGATTAAAGAACTTTTAGGTATTTGGACTCCTAAAAACTCCTAGTGCTCCTACTAGTTCTCCCATCTGAAAAGCTCTTTTGTGTGTGTGTGTGTGTGTGTGTGTGTGCGTGCGCGTGTGCGAAGGCGGAGTTGAGTGACTTGCGCAGCACCATCATCAATCTGCTGGACCCGTCACCTGAAGCTGCCGCTCTCATCAATAAACTGGACTTCGCCATGTGCACATACCTGCTGTCTGTGTACCGGCTGGAGTACATGAGGTCAGAGACGCTGCTCAGTTCAATATATACACAAAAAAAATCCCCAAATTAGCAGTTTTCCCTATTTTGTAGGAGTGTAACGATACACTCAGCTCACGATACAATGTGTATCACGATATAATGTTCACGATTCGATATGTATCACGATATTTGGAATAAAAATTGAAAATTAAACTGAAATGCAAATTTTATATAAAAAAAAATTTAATTACCAAGTAAACTATTTTTTATGTATTTCTTTTGTTTCAACTTGTTAAACTAAACCTTCTATAAGAAAATAAATTAAACAGGGCTGTCTCTGGAAAATAAAACAATTTAAAAACTTCTTATAAAATATTATTGAAATTATTCAATTCAATTGAATTTAACAGTAAGAGCTTAAGGCTTTGCTTGGTCACTTGCGTTTTTTGTGTGTGCAATCTACATTTCCAGGTAATCAGCAGTTCTATAAGATAATCCTGAACTGATGTGTATCTGTCTGAGAGGTTTTTATGGATGGCTGTCTTCATGTTGGGCATGATGAGTGACAGGGTGGCCGTCTTTTCATTACACAGGACAGTCGTGGCTCTTTTCAGCAGTTTAGGCAGGTTTACTATTTCTTCGGCGTCGCTGATGTCGGCGCTATATATCAAGTGTATCACGTTGACGTGCATTTTTGTGTAGCTCTGTACTCAAAAGAGTTCATGCTCGGCGTAATTATAACTCTAAAATGCGATATGATTATTTAAATAACTATCCACTGCTGTTCATGTACACATTCTGTATCCATGTCGCTGTGCAAAGTATGTAAATCACTGTGAAGACTTTACAACTTCGGCTATGTTTGACCTAGTATGCGTGTCAAAAAGCGGACGAGTCTAAAGCAATGACTGTACAACCGAAATGTTGCCAGACGTCTGATTTTGAGAGGATGGGCCATCCTCTATTTCAACTCCACTCATCTTGGTCTGCTAACATTACTGCTGCTGCAATCTGAACTCACGTGCGACAGCAGGTGGAACGTAGCTCACGTGCAAACAGCTCAACTAATAAGACGCCACGATGCATATTGTGACATTTTTGCATCGCAATAAATCGTACAACGATAAATCGTTACACCCCTACTATTTTGTGATTCATATTTATATTTTTCCCTATTATTTAGTGCTTTTGAATTGCATTATGGGATCTTGATCCTTCATCCAACAATTTCAACCTTGAAATGTTGTAAAAAGTGACTTTTATGAACATTTTAATAGTTTTAAGTGATATATTGTCTGATGTTGGTGTTGTATATTACACTACAAAAACAATTTCTGTTATTTTAGTCTGTGGAATATTATTTTATGGATATTATTTTTTGTACATTATATTATTTCAAACGACTAAAATGTCAATTAAAGTTACTTTGTTAAACTTTAAAGTTGAATTTTCTACATCAAAAGTGGACAGAGCAGAGATCAGCATCCCATAATGCAATTCACATGTCGTCAGAGGGGGAAAGCCTTGCCCTCTTGTCTTGTTTTTGAATCTGCCACTATGCTGACACATTGGCATCTGTAGCGCCGCCCTCTATTTAAAATAGAGCACAATCTCATTTGCATTTAAAGTGACAGTAACTAAAATGGCACCATCAGGATCAAAGCCTTAAAGGGTTAGTTTCAGAGAGTTATAAAGCATTATTTGTGTGCAATTTTGAGCTGAAACATCACATACACACTCGATTTTTCTCATCTTTTCTGGCCTGTTTTCTTCTTTCTTGTTCTCTTTTCCTCTACAGGATGTTGCACTCCAATGATGCCGACCGCTTCCAGGTCATGTTCAGATACTTTGAGGACAAAGCCATCCAGAAAGACAAATCAGGTCAGAAACTCTGAATTCATGACTGGTGATTTTAGTTTCAGGCATCATTAAAATGAGTGTAATGGACCTTTTACGCACTTCCGCATTTTTCGAACGGAAATACGTCAGTGTAGTGCATTAGAACTTCCTGTTATCATAGCATGTAAATATGACTTGAAAACAACATTAGCACTGTTTATTTGACTGTGAACAATGTTGTACTTTGATAGTCATTGGCTGCTAATCTGATTTCGCTATTTAGAGTTTGCAAATAATACTTTAAAGAAATTATTTTGTTAAGGGGAAAGTCTGAATATGCCACCACAAACCAACTTTATGTGCCCATAAAACCAACTTTACCTCTATCCCACCTGCAGGTAAGATTGTTCATAGTGTATTTAGTTAACGCTAGTCAACTATGTGTACCGTTATGCATTTCTACCTAAACAAATTAATGTTAATAATATAAGCTGTTCACGAAACTCAACTAATAAAATAAAAAATTTTTTTTTTATAATGAAACTATTTATTGCTGTGACATCTAGTAAATACACTAAATTTTATCATACTAGCATGTGTGGAAGTATTTAAAACAAGTGTGTTACAACTGGCCCTGTGTTAGGTTCTGCCCTTCTCTCCCCTATTTTAACTGCATGTATTTAATTACTTATTTATTTAACTTCGGAAGACAACTCAGGCTCGCCTAAAACACTTTAGCTGCAATTTCTCCGCCAAAAAAAACTCATACCGGAACTGGGTTTACACGTTGTTGACGTACTTCCGTTTTTTGTGTAAAAGGTCTACACAGCCTTACATTTTGTGTTTATATATACAGTCAAGCCCGTAATGATTCATATCCCTGGCAAATTCTGACTTAAAGTTACTTTTATTCAACCAGAAATTTGACCAGAAATGATTCAGGCTTCTCCTGAAAGATTATAAGGTGACGCACAAGAGGAATCAATGTGGAAAGAAATATTTCCTTAAAAATATTTGAGTTAATATTTTTAATAAGTAAAAATATTTATTTAAAGCTCCTCAGATGGTGAAAATCATCATTTGTAAGCTGTTTGGACAGAACTGTGTGTGGTTATAGTGTGTCCACTGTCATATTGGACTGATAGAAACATAGTTAGTCTCTTTTTTTTTATTTCCTAGCGTTAAAATCGGATCCAAATCCCTCCCATTTTGAGGCCGACATGACATATGACATAGACATGACATATGACACATGACATACATGACATAGAAATGCGGTTTCCCCGCCCACCGAATTGATTGACAGCCGCATATTAAAATGTCTCCGTAGTAACGCCTATAGTCATGCAATATCAACAAGACAGGACTTGCGCAAAGCAACCGGGATTAAAAGATCTGTTAAGCTCTCTGTGATCATCAATCATCATCAAATGTGATCAAGAATGAGGTTTACAAGTTTAAAATGTTTTTAAACCGTGCATGTTTGTAAAGACAGTAAAATTGCTGTAATTCATCACCAGTCGCGTGTCAGAACAATTATAAAAGAAGACGCATCAGTCCTGGTTTGTCGATGTTTATTCATTTCATTCATTTTCTTGTCGGCTTAGTCCCTTTATTAATCCGGGATCGCCACAGCGGAATGAACCGCCAGCTTATCCAGCAAGTTTTTACACAGCGGATGCCCTTCCAGCCGCAACCCTTCTCTGGGAAACACCCACACACACATTCTCACACACACACACACACACACACACTCATACACTACGAACAATTTAGCCTACCCAATTCACCTGTACCGCATGTCTTTGGACTGTGGAGGAGAACATGCAAACTCCACACAGATACGCCAACTTAGCCGAGGTTCGAACCAGCGACCTTCTTGCTGTGAGGCAACAGCACTACTTACTGCGCCGCTGCCTCCCCTTGTGGACGTTTAATCAGGTTTATTTTGTACATAAAATAATGGATATCCATTGGACATTAACCTGTATCCTGTCACATTTGCTGTGCAAAAACAGTGCAAAGTTAAATGTGTGTGTGTGTGTGTGTGTGTGTGTGTGTGTGTGTGTGTGTGTGTGTGTGTGTGTGTGTGTGTGTTAGTGTGTGTGTGTGTTAGTGTGTGTTAGTGTGTGTTAGTGTGTGTGTGTGTGTGTGTGTGTGTGTTAGTGTGTGTTAGTGTGTGTGTGTGTGTGTTAGTGTGTGTTAGTGTGTGTTAGTGTGTGTTAGTGTGTGTGTTAGTGTGTGTTAGTGTGTGTTAGTGTGTGTGTGTGTGTGTGTGTGTGCACGTTATAAAGACATTGTGTGTGACTCATGGTTGTAGAAAGGCTTGAATTATCTCCACAACAAATACATCAAATAATCACTGGGAAAGTTCTTACTGTAGTAAGGGAGATCTGCTTCATTCTTGTCTGCTTATCTACGTGAGACGCAGTATAAAGCCTGATTTATACTACTGCGTCAAGTGACCGGCGTAACCCACGGCCCATGCAACGCGCGTAGCTGTGCATTTATACTTGTGTGCGCTGTCTCTGTTGGTCTGCATTAACACTTCTGAAACGCTAGTTGGCAGTGAGGTGTAAATGTTCCTCTGTGTCGAGTTTCTTCACTGGTGTTTTGCTTTTCCTGAACACTTCCGAGATGTACAAGTGACTCAAACTCGCTCATTTTGAGGCAGGAACCGGCGGACGTGCAACAACTTTAACTATGAGGTAAACACAAAACAAAACTTTCCATCCGGAGCTCCTTCACGGGACTCCACACTTGTAAACAATCGCTCGCGCCATTCGCGCGGCTCTCGGTCCCGCCCAGACTCGTTAGCGCTACCAAGCCGACCAATCACAGAGCTTACGCTATGCGTCGTTGCGACGTGTAGTTACATTTTTTGAGAGGTGCACGTCAGTGACGGCGACGTCCACGGCGAAGGGCTATGCGTCAGCGCCCTAGCATACGCCGGTGTTTGACGCAGAAGTATAAATCAGCCTTAAGAAGGCTACACCCATCTTAGCAACACAGAGAGATCTCTAACCACCTCATTTGCATTAAAGGCACGGCGACAAAAAAACAGTGCCCTAACAGCTAAAATTTTACAGATTTAGAAAGCTATAATAAATAATCTGATGGGTGTTTTGAGTTGAAACTTTACAGACACATTCTGGAGACACAAAAGACTTATTTTAAATCTGGAAAAGGGGGTAAAATAGGGGTCCTTTATGTCCAAATTTGCCAGTATTTAAATAGTTTTAGGCTTAACTGTGTGTATAGAATATGCCAAGAATGTGTATAGAACTAAAACTGAATTTTAATACCATATATTTCCCCTTATTCAATCATTTTCTTATATATCTTTCAGTATAACATTAGTTAGATCAGGGGTGGCCAACCCTGTTCCTGGAGAGCCACCTTCCTGCAGATTTCAGTTGCTACCCATATCAAACACACCTGAACCAATTAATTAGGACCTGAACACCACGTGATAATTACAGGCAGGTGTGTTTGATATGGGTTGCAACTGAAATCTCCAGGAAAGTGGCTCTCCAGGAACAGGGTTGGCCACCCCTGATATATACCATTATGAGCCCTGTTGAACACAAAAGAAGATATTTTGAAGAATGCTGAAAACCTGTAACCATTGACTTCCATCGTAAGAACAACAAATACTATGAAAGTCAATGATTACCGGTTTTTAACATTCTTCAAAATATTTTCTTTTGTTTTTAACGGAAGCAAAAAGAAACTCGAACATGTTTGAAACAAGTAAAGGGTGAGTAGATGATGACAGAACTTTCATTTTAGCGTGAACTATCCCTCGTCCAACTCTTGCTTCATTTTCTATAACCAGCAAAGTCATAGTGAATAAGCAGCTGTATCTCTGCTTACCGTGTGTGTGTTTGTGTAATATCTGTGTTTTTGTGTACGCAGGCATGATGCAGTGTGTGATCTGCGTTGGTGATAAAGTCTTTGAGGTTTTCCTGCAGATGATGGCTGAGAAAGTGAGTCCAACACCTGAACCCAGAGCAAAGTCTAGAAGGGATACAGCTGTGGAAACTGACAGCAATATAGCAGGAGTTTAATGAAACGCTACAAAAATAATTCATATTTTTACATTACTGTGATGGTAGGGGTAGACGTTAATAAAATACACTTAATGGGTAATTTAAAGAATAATATTAAAGAGCTCATAATATGGGTTTTTGAAAATGCCCCTCCATGTAGTGTGTAACACAGCTCTAACTGAAGTGAAGTATCCAGCTAAGGCTTAAATCTGTAAGAGTACAGTGTTTAAAACTGTTGATTCAGCTATAAAAGAGTCGACTCATAGTGCTTCAAACGAGTCGCCTTGAGTCACCCGGGAGATTTGAAACCTGCGGCCCCGCCCTCTGACACAGAAACACACACACACACACACACTCAAACATGCCGGTCGATTGAAGTCACACTGCAGATGGATATTATTGAGTCTCTACCCAAAGATGAAACCTCAGCATTATAACCAAGCAGTTGGAAACTTCTGGAAACTTCTGGAAACTACATGCTACAAAGAATACTTCATCAGCGTTTGTTAAAGGAAGGATCAGTAAAGGCTCCTGATGGACATGTCGAGAAATGGAGGAAGAAACCGATCCATGTCCTAAGTGTAAGTACGTGCGATTAAAGTTGTTGCCTCGTTTACTCCAGCTTGCAAATGTATTTAGTTGTGATTTGATACTTGTAACCGCGTGTACTGTATCAGGTTAACTCGCTATATTCTCATATCGCGTGCAAAGCCAGGTTAAAAACGCGATGCGTGCTGCTTTGTTTACGTTCCCGTGGAGGAGTGTAATGTATGTGTTAGTGTTTGTGCGTGCGTGCGCGCATTGTCTTCTGGAGGAGGGTTGTGTGTGTGTGTGTGTGTGTGTGCGTGCGTGCGCGCATTGTCTTCTGGAGGAGGGTTATGTGTGCGTGCGTGCGTGCGTGCGTGCGTGCGTTTGTGTGTGTGGACGCGTGCGCAAGGACGAGGGCAATCCGTGTGTGTCTGTGAAAAGAGCAGAATGTGAGACAAGCTAGGAGATCTCCTCGCCAGTTTTTGGAGTTTTTGCTCAATAAAATAGTCAGTTGTCTCTATTTTCAAGTCCATCGTCTGTATTTACATTCACCCACTGGCAGCTAAAATCCACGCCTTACATTATCGAGCGTGTATACACTGTGTCTTCTATATTGTTGATTAGCTGCTGGGCATTTCACTCTGTCTCGTGCTGAAGGCTGTCAGTGTCGACCAATAGCAGCAGGCTGTCATCGGTCCAATCAGCGCAGATTAGCTTCGCGCTAAGGAGGGGTTTGGGAACAAATGAATCATTGGACAATTCATATAGGAGTCGCTGGGATAGTTAGGTAAAAATAAATGCAGATTATAAGACCATGAAAGTGTTTTTTGACCTTGCATGCATATTAGACTGTTGTTGGAGACCCTTACAACCAAAATATGACCCTATTTCATGTATAATAGGGGCTCTTTAATAATACTTGTTATAATGATTGTTTTTACATTACTGTGAGGCTTAGCGTAGGAGTAGACTTTTATTAACAGGTAACTTAATAAATAATATGAATAATACTCTTGTGTATTACTGTTTTTACATTACTGTTGAAGAAGATTTTATTCTCTCTGTATGAAGTATTTTCTTCTATTTTCTCTTCTCAAAATGTATGTAGTGTTTGCAGCAAACATGCCAGCGTGTGTTAAAAATACTGTGTAAGATGAGGATGCCTGCACAGGAGCAACACTAGGAGAAGGCTATGCTGAAGAATGATTGTGTGGAATAACTGAATATATAAAGTACTGATTATAGATGTTAAATACTTGTATGAAGCTATATGTGTCAGAAGCTAGAGTGAGTAACATGTTATCAAGTGATTATGCTGTCATGACAATGTATGTAAACACTTAGTCCATTTGCATGAGTTGCATCTATGGAGAGAGAACTTTGGTTTCAAAACAGTTGCTGACATTTACATTTACATTTAGTCATTTAGCAGACGCTTTTATCCAAAGCGACTTACAAATGAGGACAAGGAAGCAATTTACACAACTAAGAGCAACAATGAATAAGTGCTATAGGCAAGTTTCAGGTCTGTAAGGTCTAAGAAGGAAAGTATTTGTAGTATTAGTTTTTTTTAATTTTTTTTTATTTTTTTGGTACAGTTAGTGGTATATCCAGAGAGGTAATTGCAGATTAGGAAGTGTAGTGGAGAGTAAATAGTTGAGTTTTTAGTGGTTTCTTGAAGACAGCGAGTGACTCTGCTGTTCTGATGCAGTTAGGGAGTTCATTCCACCAACTGGACAGATTGAGCGTGAGCGTTCGCGAAAGTGATTTCTTCCCTCTTTGGGATGGAACCACGGGGTGACGTTCATTCACAGAACGCAAGTTTCTGGAGGGCACATACATCTGCAGAAGTGAGAGCAGATAAGAAGGAGCAAGGCCAGAAGTCGCTCTGTAGGCAAACATCAGAGCTTTGAATTTGATGCGAGCAGCAACTGGCAGCCAGTGCAAACGAACTAGCAGCGGAGTGACATGTGCTCGTTTAGGTTCATTGAAGACCACTTGTGCTGCTGCGTTCTGGAGCAGCTGAAGAGGCTTGACAGAGTTAGCTGGAAGCCCGGCTAGTAGAGAGTTGCAGTAATCCAGTTTGGAGAGAACAAGAGCTTGAACAAGGAGTTGAGCTGCATGTTTAGATAGGAAGGGTCGCATCTTTCTGATGTTATAGAGTGTGAATCTGCAAGATCGAGCAGTTCTAGAAATGTGGTCAGAGAAGTTTAGTTGGTCATCAATCGTTACTCCAAGGCTTTTCACCATTTTGGATGCAGTAATGGTTGCCCCATCCATCTGGATTGATGGATTGACATGACATAGACCTGTGACATCTCGCTGACCATAGCACGCTGGTTGGGAGCTAAGAATAACAGGGCCACCTAGAGTAAAAACCTATCCAAAAATGGTCAAAAGTTAAAATGAGACACCTAGGGGTGTGTCAAATAACCTGTATAAAGATTGTGGAAAACACAGAAACTTTAGAAAGAGTAAGAGAAAGAGGAGGAGAATGCTATGAGGTCTGCTCTGCTCTTTCTCGGCTTTATTATAGAGAATAAAGTCTATTTTCTGATATTCAAAACCTCTGGTCTGATCATTTCTAATTGATAAGAAGTCGATTTACAACACTGTGATGGTTAAGTTTAGGGTTGGGGTAGAAGTGGATGTTAATAAAATAAACTTGGTGGGTAATTTAAAAATAATTTCTCGTTAACTTCCGTCCACAGCTGTATCCCTTCTAGCAACAACCCAGAACATTATTGATGGCTCATCATTATTGATGCGTTCTGTTGCTTTCTGTTTCAGCCCAAGACTAAAGAGCATGAGGAGGAGCTTGAACGCCACGCTCAGTTCCTATTGGTCAACTTTAACCACACCCACAAGAGGATCCGCAGGGTGGCAGATAAATACCTGTCAGGACTCGCAGAAACGTAATGCTCTTCTCTGCTTGGTGCACACTAGAGAGATCCCTAAGTAGACAACACTTTAATCATCATGTGGACTGAGCAGATTCATCCAGTATTTGTGTGTTTCTTTAAAGTATTGGTGCTTTTCTATGGGTATTGGAGTGTAAATAAAAGCTGTGCGACACTGGCGCAGTAGGTAGTGCTGTCACCTCACAGCAAGAAGGTCGCTGGTTCGGGCCTTAGCTGGGTCAGTTGGCGTTTCTGTGTGGAGTTTGAATGTTCTCCCCTTGTTGGTGTGGGTTTCCTCCGGGTGCTCCAGTTTCCTTCACAAGTCCAAACACATGCGCTATAGGGGAATTGAGTGAGCTAAATTGTCTGTAGTGCATGTGTGTGAATGAGTGTGTATGGGTGTTTCCCAGTACTGGGTTGCATCTGGAAGGGCATCCGCTGCGTAAAACATATGCTGGATAAGTTGGCGGTTCATTCCGCTGTGGCGACCCCTGATTAATAAAAGGACTAAGCTAAAATGCAAACAATAGCCCCTTTCACACATACAGACCTTTCCGGAAAATTGCCGGCAATTTTCCGGAAAGGTGTGTATGTATGAACAGGTCCTTTTTGAAAATACCGGTAAATTCGTTCTGGCTATTTTCCGGAAAGAGAAGTTGTAACATTACCGGCAATTTGCTGGAATGCTGCGCTGTGTGAATGCAGAAGGAAGATTGCCGTAATAAGCGCGTACACGTCTAGAACGTGCTGACGTGAGACGTCTGCTTTAGCCAATCACAACAGTCAGACGCATTTACGTCCGCGCGGTTTATGAGAATAAAAACCTTTGAATATTTTTCCAGACACATTTAGCTGCTAGAAGTTAGTCAGATCACGTTTATATGTTCTTCTTAATGCCAACTGTGTAAATAATCATCGATGAGATGCTTATGATAAGCCGTTGTTTGTTTACCTTCAAGCTTTGCGTGTGCCTGTGAAACAGCCTGTGAGCGCCTGCACACGCACATATTATGAACATCTCGACATGTGAAAGTGATCCTGCGAAAGTTGTTCACAATATTGATCATCCACAGAGTTTGTAATTTAGTCAAATGTTTACAAACACAAGCGCAGCCGTTTAAAGCTCATTTGTGGTGAATGATGTCAGAATTTACCGGTATTTTGGAATGGATGTGTGAATGCTCTTTTCCGGAAAATTTCCGTAACGTCCTCGCCTGTGTGAACAGCGCTTTTTTGAATATACCGGTAAAGTCGTTCCGGAAATTTTCCGGATATTTACCGGTATCACTGTGTGAAAGGGGCTAATGACTGAATAAATAAAAGCTGTGTGTTTGTGCTGTAGGTTTCCTCATCTGTTGTGGAGCGGAAGAGTTTTGAAGACGATGCTGGATATCCTGCAGACTCTTTCTCTTTCTCTGAGTGCTGTCAGTACAACAAAACACATAACACGCACAACACATAACAACACAACTAAACACACAACACAAAGCACAGCACAACGTACAAAACAACACACACTCCCACACAAGCAAAATGACAGTGTATTATCTGTCTGCGAACAAAACACACAACACAACAAACACAAGGTACAACAAAAGTCACATGACTGAACACACAACAACACACAATACAAAACAAACAACACAACACAACTAAACACACAACACAACATACAAAACAACACACACACACCCACACAACCAATAATACAGTGTATTATCTGTCTGTGAACAAAACACACGGCACACAACACAACAAAACACAAGGTACAACAACACAAGTCACACGACTGAACACACAACACAAAACAACACACCACAACTAAACATACAAAACAACACACACTCCCACACAACCAATAATACAGTGTATTATCAGTCTGTGAACAAAACACACGGCACACAACAC